TTTTTTTGTGTATAACTTTTTTTCGGTAAAAATAATATTAAATAAAACTATTTATAAAAATAAATTATATGTACCTATACAAAATTACATCTAAACAAAAACTTTATATTATTAATTATTACTATTAAAATTGTTGATTTAAAATTTATTAAATAATTTGTATAAAGAAATCACGTGCATCTATGTTGTTGGAAATAAAAGAATAAAGCGTATTAAAATTTAAAGTAGTCCGTGGGAATAAAAAGTATTTTTTTCGAAGTTTTGAGCATAATGCTTACTGCCATTACTTGTTGCATTTTCCTTCATGTACTTTTGATGAACAAATATATCATATAATGTTCCAATTATTATCATAAAAAAAGTAAACGCCAAGGTTATGCTGCAAATAAAATTCTATACTAATTCTTAATTACTTATAATATTTATTAATTCATATATGTATACACATTTTTTTTTATTACACTTTTTTTTTGTTGGGGCCGCCATATGTTCTGACGTCAATGCATTGGCGTCGAGATACCCAAATCTGCTCATTTTTTCCAGCCAATCACGAAGTTGGTCACGTGACCAAGTTGGCGATTCTCTCTACTAGAGGTTCTCTAGGTGCGGTAAGACTAGAGATCCTATACCAGAGTCTGGACACGAGAGAGACAATTTCTGATTGGTCCGTCGTTTGTGGCAACTCCCGCTCTAATTCAAACGTCGATAACCTTATAAATTCATATAGGATAGAAATATACATAAAATTTTAGAACATTTTTATTTTTTTTAACGAATATTAACTAACTTCACAAAAAAGTGAATTGTTTGTCGGTACCCGGAATCTTCTCGGTTAACATTTTTTACCCATATAACTCATCGTTCAGGATTTTTAGGAAATCTTTTCATTGCATATCCTTTGACAGCTGAATTATTACAATATTACTATTTTTACTATAAATATTTATTTAATGTTATTATTTTTAATATTTAATACATCGACATCGATGATTTAATATTTTTTACGCTATTAACTTAAATAAAAGAGAATATACAAATATATACATTACGTTAAGGTTAGAATTAATAGACGAAGATAGTGTATATATATATCTTTCTCTTTCGTAGCATTTTGCCACAATCGCGCTCGTGTCCAGACTCTGATATAGGGTCTCGTAAGACGTGCTGGGCGCTAAACAATTGCGCGCTTCCCCTCCTACCTCTCCAATTCACTGCCGCGGCCGGCGCCACCATCGTTTGACAAATTGGACCGGGCTATACCTCGAGTGGCCAGAGTGTTTCTATCGGAGCGCTCTCATTAGTACAAATGCAAATTTTAATATCTCGATTATTATTACGAATTTCGCTAAACGGTAAAGGACTTTTATGTTTGTTTCGATCCCATCTACCTTCCTGTATGCGGTGGGAAAGGTCTGACCGGACACCCTTGTATACTATACTTTGTAAAAATAAGTATTATTTATTAGCTTATTTAAATTCGCAAACCAACGAATAAAATGTAAATTGCTTTCCCACCATCTAGTGTGCCCTCGGTGAAGCTGCGAATTCCGCGGGCCGGACAAAATCTTTCGTTAAAACTTTCGCATAATTAGATTCGAAAACAATAACAAAAGCGAAAGTCTAAAATGATGCGAAAGTTTCGCTTTTGCATATGCGAAAGCGAATATTCGTTACATCCCTAATATATATATTATATGTATATATTACACATACAAGTTTTATTTATACATACATATATGGGTCCAGGCAAGAGACGATATGATTCGTTAATTTTATACGCTTATAATTTAAAAGTTATTATAGCCTTAACATTTTGATATTAAAATTTCGTCTCAAAATGATATTTGAAAAAATTTTGATATATTTATCAAAGATTTAATAATCCCCGAGTAACATAATTCATTAGCGACATATTAAATACATATATTAGTACGAAAATAAATAATATTAGCTAATAATGCGCTACAAGGATACATTTTTATCTACTCTAGTAGCATTATTGACTAATATTGCAAATAATATAATAAATAAAATAATATTTTATATTGTAGAAATTGAATTGTATTTATATTTTACAGTTTTAATTTTATCTATTAGAATTTACACACACAATCCAGTTATATATCTACTTATATATATAATACCTTTAAAGATATTAGCCCATGGAAAATGAATTACATATATATATATATAAGCTAATGATAAATTATTTTGAATATTAAAAAATTTTTATATAATAATTTTCTTATAATTAATACTGTGTGATTTTAATCAAAATATGTAATTTATTTAAAAACATGTAATTAAATAATCACTACTAATCATTTAACATTTACAATATTAATAAATTTTTCTAAAGATCTGTCACATTGCAATAATCAGATCGCAAACATCTTGTTATTACTTGACTTTCCAATTAGTAGATAAATATGGTTTCAATAAAATATATCGAAAGATTCGTATAATTTAACATCACATTTAATGTGAAAAATGTAACTCTCATAAAGAAACATCACATTCTAATTGATACTATAATTTTAGTATTTCTTAAAAAGCGATACTTATCGATACTACTCGTAAAGTAGTTCTACATTAAATGTAACACATTGATTAACTATAAATTGGAGTAAGCATAAATCTTTCGTTTATAGTAGGAAAGAAATTTTTCTCTCAAAGGCATAAGTATATCTGACCACCGTTTCCGGCGAAACGAATTCACGACGTTTTGCCTCTCGACTGCTGAATTATTCATAATCAAGCACAAGTTTTCCAGTTTGGAAATTGAATCTTGCCGTACAATATATTCGACACGAACGTATGTGAAATTGTATATATATATATATATATATATAGGTACAGATATTGCGAGAATCAGGAAAAAGGATAAAGTCAACCGTCATTTCCAAGCAACGTGTATTTGCAGAATGTAAATGTAAGGTTACATCGAAATATCGAGCATTCTATGTACACTGCTCTGATCTACGTTCTTGAAGTTGCGACGACGATAACACATCGATGATCATCACGACGACGCCGATTTACATTTAACTCCGCGAGTCTGTCGGCGGGAATGAACGCGTTTATTTGCAATCATCTGCCGCGATACACGCGCACACATCGAATAAATAGCAAGTAGCACGGTATAAATAACTCTTCTACTACGTACCGCCACGCGCGAGAGAGAGAGAGAGAGAGAGAGAGAGAGAGAGAGAGAGAGAGAGAGAGTTGTACACATTTACGGTAAATAATTTATCGCCTAAATAATTATATCATCCCGAATCAGAATTTGCGACTTTCACGCGAACGCATCTTGTAACGTCTATTAATTTTACGCTTAATTTGCAACGTGCAGCTCATGCACGCGAATTTATTTCTTCATCGAGCAGATTACACATCTCTGCCGCTAATTGTCCCGGACAATTTGAGTTACTCTTAATTGCATTCGTACGTCTTCACGATTCGGCTGCATGTTTTGCACTTGACATAGCAACAACTGATGTACTTGCAGTCGCATCTTTCGTAGATCTGCTCAGTTCTGGTCACGTGGCCGCGGCTGCAACAAAGGTATTCGCAGCCCTCATAACCGGAACTGCTGCCGTTGCATTGTCTGCAAAAGAATTTTTACCCGTCTTGTAATCACAGCTAAAATATATACAGGGAGGGGCATTTAAAACCGGTCATCTGAATAACTCTCTTGTTTTTGACAATAGAAGAAAAAGTGTCAAACAAAAGTTGCTTGGTTTCGAGGGGTACGTAATGTGATGTCAATAATTGTTTTTTTGGTGAAGGCGCTAAAAAGATATGAAGGTCACCTCCACTTTTTTTAAATAGAATTATGTAATTTTTTTTAGATAACGTGATTCCTCTAATTATTTTGCATATAAAAGTATTACGGTAGAGATACCAAAAAACCAATAGTTTTCGAGATATTTTACACTTTATTTTGATACATATTGACATAAAATGTTAAATAACTCGTAAATAATTGTTGACTTTTTGATTATCGTACCTTAATACTTTTGTGAACAGAATAATGAGATAAATCGAATGGTGTAAAGAAAACACATGGTTGCTTTAAAAAAAATATGTATACAAAATGGATAATTTTTTAAATACGCAACTATGTGTTTTCTTTACACCATTTGATTTATCTCATTATTCTGTTCACAAAAGTATTAAGGTACGATAATCAAAAAGTCAACAGTTTACGAGTTATTTAACATTTTGTGTCAATATGTATTAAAATAAAGTGTAAAATATCTCGAAAACTATTAGTTTTTTGGTATCTCTATCTTAATACTTTTATATGCAAAATAATTAGAGGAATCACGTTATCTAAAAAAAATTACATAATTTCATTTAAAAAAGTGGAGGTGACCTTCATATCTTTTTAGCGCCTCCATCAAAAAAACAATTATTGACGTCACATTATGTGCCCCTCGAAACCAAGCAACTTTTATTTGACACTTTTTCTTCTATTGTCAAAAACAAGCGAGTTATTCAGGTGACCTGTTTTAAATGCCCCTCTCTGTATATTAAAAGTATATGACACTCTCTTTAACTTTCAAAATTCACTGTTAGTGCCATGCTAAAAATCAAGACTGCGTTCAGTAGAAGAAACAGCTTTGCGTTGCTTCTTGCTTTTAGTTCCTTGCTGAATCTAAATGTACAACTAATCATATTAAAGAATCTTATTGCTTTTTCTGCTGAACGCACCTTATAATTCAAATCAAATATATATAATAAGAGAAAACATCCTGTTGAGGTGCCAAAGGGTTATCGCCGTCACTTCATATTTAGTGCGCTCCTGATAAAGTCAACGGCAAAAGGTTTACACGGAACGTTGACATTAGCAATGGATTATGACACGGATATAGATAACCCGCAAACCCTTTGGCACCTTTAAAGACAAACCCGTAAAAGCTTCAAAAGAATTATAAAAATATTTCTATTTTTGATCAAAATTTGATATTTAATAATAGTTTTATGTAGATTCACAAACACATTTATACTACGTAGAATTACAATTATATTTGCATGCAGATTTACAATTAATATATTATTTTCTTATTTGATGTGTTCTTATCAATCTAATATATTTCCTTATAATTGTAAATCTGTAAATTTACAAATACATTTGTGCATAGACTTGTAAATTAATAAATCTATATATGAACAATAATAAGCGTAACACCATATAGATCTGCTTCTATCAAAAATGGGATGATTTTTTATTTGATTTATTTTATTGTTACCGATCTAATAATGTATCCACTTGTAATTATAGTAAGTACAAATTTTAACGCAGTAAATTTTGGAATAACCTGATAATAGTCGCATGATATAAAAATTATAAAATATAATTAAATGGTCAGGTATATTAATAAAAATCAGTGTGATGTATATCGTGGAAAGGAAAAATTAAGATTTGAAAAGATTGGTCATATTATCAAAGATGAAATATTGTTTAAATTAATTTTGACATATACCAGTATACTCTTTCCTGATATTATTGATATTATCGTTTTATCTAATCGCAATTATACCTGATATTACAAACGGTTTCATGTTCGCCATAATTAGACAGCGATATCTTCCTCGTTTCTTTCGGGGAGGAAACGCGTGTAATTAGTGTACTCGCAAGAGTTATTCATCTTCACGGTTCATAACGGTCGGCTGTATTATCTCAATGGCCTCGTCGAAACTTCTCCTCCGGTTACTTCGTTAAAGCTCCTCGGACTCCATTATTAATCGATTTGCATGACGCCCGCCTCTGATGCCGTAAAGATACTGAAGATGCCCGCTTTTGCGGGCGATCGAGACTACTGTGTAAATTACGCGGCGTCAAGAAAAAGAAAAGGATCTTTCTCGGGAAGCCTTGCGTCGTGACACGGAACACTGGTCGAACACGGCGTGATAAACATTCGCCACGCCCACTTGTATAATTATACGCGGGCTTATAATTACTGGGTTGTGTGCTGTAAACCGGCGAGACGAGTCGGTGGCGACCCAAAGAACCTGACGCCATATATCAGCGCGCGGCGAATGAAATATCGGCGTGCCCGAAACAAACGTCGTTGGATTAGAGCCCACGATAATCGTCCCTCACGAAATTATCGAATCCTGTTCACGCGTCGTCAGGGAGAGAACGAGAAAAGCACGTCGCGCGTCGCTGATAAATCTCGCCGTGGAGTTTGATAGCGACGCACAAAATTGCGTTCGCGTCGAAAGAAACTAATATCCGGGCTAGATAGGCTGATATTAATTGATCGAAGGAATAGAGAGTTGGTTCGTTCATTGATAAACTATAATGATCGTTAATTACTCGTAAAACTAGAAAGGATTGTCCAGTTATAAGACGAAGAATACATTCTCGATTTTCATAACGTCATCAAGGATAAGCTGTTTAGATAGCTAAGTCTATGAACAAATTTTAAATGAGATAAAATTACAATGAGAGACCAACAGTTCTACAAAAAGAACAGTTTTTCAGAAGTATTTAAAAATTTTAATACTTTTATTAATTAGAAATATTTTTGTTTATTTAAAAATACTTTAATCATCTGTTAGAAAATTCTATAGAGACCTCCTTGTTTAAAATTTATTAGAAAAGCGATAAATTTTTTGCATCAACAATACCTATATTTTATTATTTATATTCTATTTATAGAATAAATTACAATCGGATTTAAAACCTGAATTTAACATTAAATCTACAACAAGAATATAGGTTATTGTAGTCAAGTCGGGATAATTGTTTTATTTACATCTTACATCCAATACGTAATCTATACGGGCATATATCTTATTTCGCATCGTTTCTTACAACGCGAAGATACTTAAACGAATTGTGAACAATGAGACGCGATTTATAGACCGAGCAAAACGAGACAAAAGATTCACCGGAACCGCCACGCGCGTCCATTACTTCCTGCATCTTATGATCCTGGTTATCATCTCCGGAATGCCGTGGGTGATCTTAACTCACGCAGAGCGAAGCGTGGATAATTTGAGGATGATGGAGAGCCGTCTCCTTTCTACCGCCGGAAAATCCGTAACGAATGCAATTACAGTGTTACAAAATGCCGCCATTCTTTCTGAAGCAGATATACGGTCTTTTTTTGATGCGCTCACAATAAATTAGTTAATATATATTCGTGACCTAAACGTATAGGATCCAATATACGATGATTTCATTTAAAAACAATTTGTGAAACAATTTACGATCCACAAATGACAAGTGCAAAGAATAGTTTTGCTGAAGTATTTAAAAATTTAGCTATATAAATACAGATCTAAAAATAATTTTTTTTAGACCACAAAAATAATTATGTTGAACGTTCAAAGTGGTTACTAGAATGTTAACATTTTTTACATTGTTTATCAAGCTTAGCAGCTTATACAATTATTTTGAAAGTCTAATAAAATTATTTTTAGATCTGCATAATCTAATATTTCTAAAACTTGTAAAGTATATTTTACTCTCTCTCTCTCTCTCTCTATCTCTCTTTCTCAGAGAAATCTTATTAAAAATTAAAAATTATACTACCCTTTTTCAAGACTGACTCAATTTTTACTCTTTACGGTAAGATTCCACTTCAAAGAATTTAAAGAATGACAATTCGATATTCAATTTGACGCGAGGAAATATCCATTCCGTGTCCATAAAAAATCTCGCGACACAATAACGTCTCGGAAGGCCGTAAAGCATTCTTTCCAAAAGAACTCTTCGAACGGTAGCTCTAACTCGAAAAATGACATGTAGCAAAAATTAGCATTAACACTCTCAGACGTGTAGTGACGGCGGAAAAAAAAAACAGCAACAAGACCGTGAATGGGTCCTGCCGTAACGGCATTCGCGCTGCGCGAACAGTTTGTTGAACAAGGCATCGTAAAACATGCATGTTCATTCGGTTTCGAGAACAGGTTCGAGACGACCGAGCGTCGTCTAGATGGCGAGACGCACCCTATCTCCAAGAACCCTATCTTTCTCTTATTCTCGCCTCACGCACGTAATTACTGGCGCGCTTGCATAAATAAACCTGGCTATCTGCTACGACGTAATTAATCGAGATCGAAAGAATCAGAAAGAAATTCGTCGCGTGTGGCTAGGTATTACGTCGCCTAGAAACGACAGGATAAGGAAATTTTATTAGTACTCGATACAGCCCGACGCCTTTGGCTAATACTGTATAGCTGGTATTCATAGTTGATTCTTATATTTAAGACTGTTAAGTATAGGCTTAAGATATCATAAACAAATCACAGAGGCATATTAATATCTTGAGACATCACTTAAGATGATTTTGAAATAAGAATGAACTACACTTAACAAAAATGTATTACGTTGTAATAAATATTTGATTGAATAATTCTAACTTATATCCTTTTAGTTATAGTAAATAAATTACATTAATAGTTCTTGTACCAAGTAAATATTCGTTTACTTTTAATAAATTTGCATTTAATAAAATTTATCTAGAACTATTCAAATAAATATTTATTAAAATTTTATATATTTTTTTCATTGTATATATGAATACTATGAAAAAAAAGACGTTTTACGAAAATGTAAAGTAATTTTTTTGCTTTGAGCAACGGTCAAATCGGAATCAGAAAAAATTAATGAATTAAGAATTAATATTGATATGTATTTATTATTGTATAAAATTTGTTTTTTCATCAAAGCAAATATTTGTAGACAAATAAATTTTATGTGGCGCATATTTTACATTCATGAAAAACATACAAGAAGCATTAATATAAAAGAAAAGACAGGTTTGCATTGCTGAAGCAAAATTGGCTGTCGTAATTATTCGAGCTAGTTTTTCGTAGATCGTTAGCGATTATTGAGGATTGCTAACGACTTTTGCAAAAAGTGCGAGCTGTAAAATAACACACGGAAAAGATCTTCACCGATACTATCTTGAAATAACGATCGATGGAATACTTCGATTGCGACTGCAAGATGAGTATAAGCGGGCTTAAAGGGAAGTCGCAATCAACGATGACCTGAGCATCTCATAAAAGTCGCGCTTATGGCGGTGCTAATGGCTTCTCGCACTTTTACATGCCTGCCTATATAACCAGACTAGTACGTGCAATAAAGTCGCACGAGCTCACTATTAGCCGGTGCATTTACGCGAAACAAAATTACGCACTAACTCCGTAAGAAAAATCATAAAAGAGGATAAACATCGATCCTTGAAATTGCTTCTAGCGACACAGCCGAAATCAATTCATGGAAATTACAATTTTGCTGAAAGGTCTAAAATTTTTTTCTCTCTATGTGTGTATACGTGTATTACTTTTGAGTTGCCAATGTAAGTTTTTATGTTTCGACAAAATTGTCTTTACGTCTGTGTTCAGCAAAATTTTAGCTTTTTCAGCAGAATCGGTTTTTTTTTTTAACGAAGAAACAATTTTCAAGGACTGCGACTGCTTTTATCTCTTTCTCTCTGTGGTCTCCAATACAGATAAATTACAGGAAAATAAATAATTTGCGTATTACGAGAGAAGTTAACGACCTATCGCGAGAATGTATGACTACTTTCGAGAGAAGAAGAAGGTACTCCAGCCCGCGGCTACCGAAAAAAGTAGTCGGCTGATCCTTACATCCTGCCTGCCCTTCATGTCTACCCTTCATATGAAGCCACCCATACTTTTCTACCTGCCAAATTGTTCTCATTTTTTTTTCTTGTTGAGGAACGAGAGGAACCAAGAGAGGCATCTTCGCACCTTTACGTGACAGCTAAACTTTTACTCTCTCTCTCTCTTTTTCATTCATTCGTTAGCTCAAAAGTTATTGGGGTCTAAAGATATTTGAAGGAAAAATAATTCATGTTTTTTTACACGGAAGAACATTGCACATTCTTCGCCTATACATCTGGTTCTTATTTTAACGAAGCAGTTAACGCGATAATCAACATCGTTTGCAGTGGACTCGTTAAGTTCTTCGCTCCGTTAATGAACGGGAGACGCATGAAGAAAGAGTTTTTCGCGCAATTGATAAATCCCTCTTCGTGCACTGCCAGTCACGTTAAAATGCAATTCAAGCCTCTTTACGCGACACTTATTCACTCGATATCGAGACCATATCAAAAGTAAAATTTATATTATGTACATCACACGAGCTCGTGAACTAAGAGTTTTTAACGAGTGAACGTTAAACCGACTTACGAGCTCTAACGAGTTTTATCCTGAAAATATATTCGCTTTAAAAGGAGTAATGTCCCTATATTATCTTTCATATTTTTTATATAAGAAGAACAGTTTTGCTGAAATGTTTAAAAATTTAGCTAAATACAGACCTAAAAATAACTTTTGTTGGACTGTCAAAATAATTAAGACGCTCAAAATGATTGCTAAAATGTCAAAATTTTTTGCAGTATTGCACATTATGTTTCGAGTTTTCTATACTATTATTTTGATCTAACAAAATTGTTTTCAAATCTGCACTTATTTAAATTTTTAGATACTTCAGCAAAATCATTCTTTCCGCGTGTACCTTCTACTTTAATAAAGCTGAATACACACACACATTTTAAAAAATTTATATTTCCTGAATGTAAGATTTACAACTATTTATAGTCATCTTTGAAATTGTGTAGATATTTCATATATTTTTCTATTTACCTCCATAGAGATATCTATAAAAGCCGATATTTATAGCCTATTCTTATTCTTAAATAATGTCTTGAATCGCCAATACGAATTGTTCTGTGATTGACTTATGACATTTAAAGAGAGAGAGAGAGAGAGATTGTACTTAAGACAGTTTCTTCTTAAGTATAAAAACCGATTATGTATACCAGCCTAAGGCTTCTGTTTCTATCTCTTATAATTATCTTGGTAAAAACGAAATAGACCGGAGATACTAAATATTAATTTTACGCATTGCATCGAAAGTGAACACATCTGACCTGCCTATCGTGCCGAGGCTGCCTCTCTTCTTATCTGGTAAGCAGTAATCTGGACTCCTGGTGGTATAGAGCAGATTATCGTGGTGATACAGAGGCGGCAATCTGCCGCCAGATCTCAGCCTGACCTCGGCCGCAGTGGCGTATCTGCGTAGCAAACGGCTTCCGGCGGCGGATGGTCCTGATGCACCCAGACCGCGCCAGCAAGTACGCACGCTGCAGGAACCCGACACCCCGTGGCACTTGCACTCCAAAGTCAAGGACTGCTCGACCGCCTATCAGACGAAGCGTTAATCGCGATTATATTGAATTTTATTCGAAAATCAAAAACATTCAACAGACAATAGAATCATTGGCTGATTTCATTCCTTTACTTATTATATTACAGGCAAAATCTCGATTTGAAATATTCCTCTCACTTTATTGATAGATTCGAACTTCACAAGCAATGAAAAATGATTTTCAATTGTTGTTAAGACTGTCGATAGAATTATTTGCTGGTTTCATTTTTTTATTCAGGCAAAATCTTCATTTTCTTTTTATCACATTTTTTTCTAAAGTTTTAAAAACAATAAAAAAAAAATTAAATTAGACCACCTCTGTATATCTAACACTCTTCTTACTTATCAACACTTGCGATATCGCAAACTCTCACCCTCCGACCAGCCCTATTGTTATGCATATTGACTGCGTGCATAAATTTCGCGGTCCCTCCGATACCAGGCGGCGTTGCACCCTGAAGAAACCGCTTGGCCATCCTCGAAGCGGATCTCACGTCGTCTCCGCAGCCGCCCCATTTGAAGGAGTTCCTCGCGGACAGCGTGTCAAAAGAGACGGACATGGTAGTGAAGGATGAGGGCGAGATAAGCGCGGATGGCGAGGGTGGCTCTCTTCGCGGTGGGGTCGCGCAAGAACAGGCCGCCAGGCTCCCCAAAGCGCATCCGCGTGCGAGCCTCCAAACCGCAGCGGCGGCCGACATCGCGTAGACGAAGGCTTGCTCTCTCGTTCCTACGATACATACGTTCATTGAAATATAAAATCAGAAACGTAGGGGAGACCGGGTCTGGTTGGCACAAGAAGTAAGTTAGCATTGCGTTTAGCTTATATATTTGTGGCAAAAGAAAGAATGGAAAAGTTACTGCAAAATATATCTTTTTATATCATAGATATAATATACTTGTCCTTAAGTTTTATTTAAATCAAACAAGTATTATATAATTAAAAAAAAAAGAAAAATGTATTGTAATTCAAGCGGCATGAAGTAGATTTTCGAGTTTTTCAATATTTTGTATTAATACTTATTTTTAGCTTAAAAAGATAAATCTAAATAACGTATTATCAGTTGAAAGAAAAGTTTTTGTTATTATACGACATGTTATTTTGAGTGATAATTTGATATAATAAAACCATTAAAATCAAATGTATGTAAAGATGGGATACGTTGATTCATATTTAATGCAACTTATGCATGATCATCATAGGTCAGCGTGATGTGCTATCGTTCATACTTTGCACGTGAAAGTCGTGAGACGTACCTATCGATGTTTATAGTGTACTACGTATACTTATATATATAAAATATAAAAAATTGTCCAGGGTATCATGGAACAACTTGTCCCGTAGTATAATATCTACCAACTATCGGGGCAAGCTGGCTGCAATGCAGCGTGTTCGTATTACACTTACTACAAAGAAACTGTATATTATACAGAATCGTAGCATCAAAATGTAGAAAAAGGTTCTTTCTATCATGTTAGCATAGTTTAATCATAATAATCAGTTATTTAAAAGACTTAATGCTGAAATTGTGAAATCTGTCCCAGCGAGACTCGGTCTCCCCTGCTCTCTACAATCTTTACAGTGAAATCTAAAGAATGACAAGTAAACCAGTGTTGAAAAAGATTCAATTTTTAAGAGTGAGATTTTAGAATTAGATTTTATTCTAAAAATTTTCGAGAGTATATATATGTATATATATATATACGTATGAAAGTTTTTTATGCTGAAATATTTTAAAATTTAGTTAGGTACAGATTTAAAAATAATTTTGTTGATTCATCAAAATAATTATGTACGAAACTCAAGCGTAACGTTCTTTTTTTGCAAAAGGTTTTGATATTTTATGTAGCAATTAGCTTAAGCGTTTTATATCGTTATTTTGATTGTTTAACAAATTATTTTGAGATCTGTATCTAGTTCAGTTTTTAAATTCTTTCAGCAAATCTTTTATACAATAATTATTATTAGCCAATATTAGCTTAATAATGTATACCTTTAAATTTTAATTCCAATTTAATTTAACAATTATGCACGGATTATGTTTAATGTATTATAACGATGTCAAATCAGATTTTGTCGTGACGTTCTTGACGTTTAAAGACCATGCAATTCTTTCTTCCTTCGTCAATCGAGATGATTGAAGAAAAGCTGATTATCGTATTCTCGAGAACGGAAAATACAACGGCGAACAGTTACGTTCGTGGTCGTATGATGTATCTCTCATTGGCGCTTCTCGGTTTTCTCATTAACGGAGGATATCTCGATCTCTCGAGCGCACTTTTATTTACAATATAATCATCGTGAAACGCGAGCGATTAATCCAACGGAGGCCCGGTCGCGAAGAGGAAGGATGAAGACCGTGGGGAGCTACGGTTTGTTAATGATCGCTAATTGAGACGCGCCCGCCAGGTCTTCCTATTTACGTCAGAATTCCTCAAAGGATATTCGATACATTTTCCATCGGAAACCTTCATCGACTTCGCGTCCCTCTGTCGCACAAAAATCAGCGATTATAAATCTATTATGAGTAAAGTCGACAGGCAGCGTATTTTCTTATTTAAATTACTTACTTAATTTTTAATCAGTACTAATTTTAAAATTGCAGATCTTTGAAAGAGAGCAATCTAATACCTTGTTTTTTTCTTGTCAACTTCTTTCGTATCTTTAATACCCTTCGAGACAAGGAGTCAATTTTTGCAATTATCATACTTGGATTTTTCTCATGGAATTATACGGATGTTTTATATCATTAGCTTTATCAAGTATGCAATTGATATATTAATCGTTATAGTGATCACCGATGCTATTAAAAGACTTTTTTTAATATAAAAAAATAACATAAAATTTCTTTAGAAGAATTAAATACTGTAGGATTAAATTGGTTAGTGATTAATTACCTATTTTTAGTATTTAATGTATGCACTATTAAGAGAATTGTACTTTTATAATATTTAAAATAAGTAATTAATTACCAACCAATTTAATACTCTTACAATAAATTTACTTAAATTTCTCTAAGGATTTTAACTGACCTAAATAAGGTAATACAGTACAGAAAAAGAGAGTGCACTATATAATAATACTACTCGTGAGGATATTTGATCAAATTATAAATACTTTATTATTATAAAGTTATGATAATGAAATTTAATTAGCACACAAAAAATGTATAAAAGCTGGACAGATAACATGTTAAAAGGTTTTCTGCTAATATGATGTAGTTTGGATAATACGCGGATAGTCGCAAACAGACCTGTAAGCAATTCAGGTGTGTAGTCGGGCGCGCGCTCGATGCTGCTGCAGTTCCATCTGCGGTGTCTGAAAGCCTGCTGGCATACCGTTGACGCATCTTTAGCGGCTTGTACCAAAGCAGGCATCACATCCGGCGCAGCCCTGCATGCCCTCGCCTGTTTCCTCTCCAACAGACCCGCGCTTTTCGCACTGGTGCACGCCTCTCTGGTCCACGTATGCGTGTCGCTGGTGCGACCGAGGCCGCTAAACACAATGATCTCTGTCTAAATATGCGACTTTTTCACCGCAAAAAGAAACGTGTTTATTGGTTACCGAAAAGCTTCAGAGAAGCTATTAAGGAAGAATTAAATCTGAACACATTTGTTTGCATTAATAGAGATTAAGATCGGATTAAAATTTAATCAATCAAAAGAAAGGAAACCAATATCAAGTGTAACTGAAATTACTTTGATTTGTCAAATTCGAATCCAATCTCAATCTTAACCTTTATAAATTCTATTAGAAACAATTTGGGATCAAAAAGATAAAAGTCTATAATTGAAAATAAAAACCAAGCTTAAATTTATATCAAAAATGTATATTCTGCTGCATGGATATAAAATTTGCTTCTCGTAATATGTCACAATTTAGTCAAAGATTGTATTTTTTGTTAAGATTCGACAGCAAACGGTCTCGTAGGTGAGAGTTTTTAGAACGAATGGTCTCGTTTTCTCCCACTCCTTTCAACACTCTAAAACATGCGACCGTGGAATTTGGGGTGGAACACTCGGTATGTATACAACTCTGTCGGACGATCAAACCGAAGGGCCGACGCAGCCGTGAGCGATCCACCTCTCTTGGTAGACAGTCCCGGTGCGGAGCCGTAAATCAGGGGGTGAATTTCGAAAATTATAGGGCGCGAAGGCTGAGAAGGGCTCACGTTTAAGTGCCGCGGGTTGAATATACTGTAGCTAAAACTCTCGGCTCGCAACGCGCGAGAGAGCGCACGTTGGGGATAATAATTACGGACACCTGAAAGTCGAAATGACCCGTGCACGCGGCCCCGCCGTGTCTAGACGTAACAACCCTGGGAATGGCCGGATCGCCAACCCCGTGTCACGGAGCCTACCCTCGGAATTACCCTATCAAAAGCCCGTGGTTCTCTAATTCGTTATTACCGTCACAGCGAGCTCGTTCATTCCCTCCCGATGACATTTCGGGGCGCGCGTTACGACCCGACCCGGGGAATCTAATTTCCGCGTAAACGCTCGCGAGCGTACGCTCGCGTTGCTTTACGACCCATTGTGAAATCGCGATGCCTTGCATAAGACCCGCAGCATTGCAGTGGTTGACTCTTCCGGGTTCTTATATACAATAAACCTATCTTTAGACCATACGTATCTCTAGACCACCTACTTAAAAGAAATATATAACGTTGAATTCACAGGTTCTCTTGGGACACATAGATATTTTTATACAATGCTCTGACTGCATCGAAGCAAAAATATATCTCGACGAAAAACAAAGTGAAGAATATATCTTACAAGGATGGCAGTTAAAAGATTACATCTCTTTATGAGGGTAACGCGAGCTCGTTCTTCGCACGCACGGCTCGTTAAAGCCGCATACATGAAGGGCGCAAAGCTTTCGCAAATTCTCGAGCTTCGCACCCCTCGCGAATGTTCATTCGCAAAAAGAAGAAACGAGAAGGGAAACGTTCTCCCGAGAGCGGTCTATAAGAATTTCCACGATATACTTATTATTTACGAGCCATAAATATCCGATTCAAATTATCAGCTCATTAAGGCTCTACTTTGCGATGATTACTTTGACGATCCGGTATCGACTAACGAGGAACTCATGCATAATTCGCTGACAAAATAATAAATGTTGCGTGCCGCGTTTCGTATCGCGAGGGTCGATTATCGGCTTGATATCTTAATTGATCGCTTGAATGCAGAATAGGAATTAAATCTCGGACAAATTCGACCACCAACGTGGATGATCTTAACTGTATTTTTTTCTGTCAATATTAAATGGATGTAGTGAAAGGCAAATTATTCATTAGTCAGCGTCAAATTTATCTTTTCCGAGTTAATACATGTGTGTGCATTTCGAGAGTAGATTTTGCTTTCACTGTAAAAGTTAAGTAATAATTTTACTGAGATTCTAATAAGTGACAGGTGAAGAGATAACATACACTTGTCGAAAATTAGAAAGCGTAACCGGGCGTTCACGTTAGATCCCAATTATGATTTTTGTCGCGTTAGATCCCAATTATGATTTTGGACTCGCTAGCGATACATAAGACGAATATGATCAAAGTTTCTGCAAAAATGTTTAATTAAATAATTTTTATTTACCAAAAAGATCATGTTAAAGTCGTTAAAATTGTAAAAATATTGTAAAAATTTAAGTAATAATACTAATTGTACAAATGTACTTATTGTACAGCATATTGTTGATAAAATACAGAACTTATTCACGATAAAACGCATTTTTACAGTTTTTGCACTCACAACATTTTGCTGCGACACACATCACGTATTAGGGTATCGTAAGAAATCATAAGAAAGAGTAGTCATTTTGAGAAGTACGTTAAGAAAATTAATTAAGGCTTTGTTTAGTACTTAAGATAACAATCGACTCTTCAATCTTGCGATTATCACACTCTTGAGCTACCTTTCCTATAGGCAATATCGAGGCTTAACAAGGTAGATCGTTTAGCACCCGGAAAGACAGTCGAAGTATGGTACAGTATTTAATGGGCAATCGGTGCGTATACAGTGATTTGCAACCAGGTCGAGTCTAGCAGAATGCATGACAGGCCACTTATGTAGCTAGATACGATTTTAAGCTGCGTTATATGCATTACTTAGCCCGCAGCTTTGCGCGCGAAGTAATTTACGAGCCGCTCTCTCAAGACGAATGCGTGACTATTTGTTATCGCACGTTAGATAATTAATTGTCAGCGGCAGTGCGTAGAACGTCAGACCAATCGCAATGCCTGAAGCGACACATTGTGCACTTTACTTTCAATTAATTTCTAAGATTGTACCAGATATATGGATTAACTAAGATTTGGAAACGTTAATAAAAGTCAACGAAAGATTCGATTGGCGAAGGATAATTTTTATTGCAGAATTAATTGGCTACTATAAAATTTCGCACTGCTAGATTAGTCGATCGACCGATTAAATAAGATGATAATAACGCACGATAAGCACTGAGTAAGACATGAATAATTTATCCAAGATAAATATCTTGCAGTAATGAAGTGAAACTCGTTACAAAGATCTATCGAGATCTCATAGGAATGTAAAATGCGACGGCAAAGTGGAAACGAGCAAAGTGATTTACAGAGTGCCTCAGTACGTGATATAATTGTTCGTTGCAACGCAGCTAATAATTTACGAAATACAATGAGATACGCGGACGATTTACGGTTAGCTCATCCCTCGCTGCTTCGCAATCGCATTGTTTAATCACTATCTCCGTCATGAACAGTTCTGACGTTTCCTTCTTGTTTCTCGGCATACAGTATCGTGTCATGTCAATAGATATTTGTTAAAATTCCATTGTTTTGTTTTGTTTCACAAGGGACAATACCCTGGCAGAAGTATACTTATTGAAAGTTTATAAGAAATGCTAATGTATAGTTTTTGAGCTATAATATCAATAACTTTATGATAAGTTTTACACTTCTGATACACCATAACTGAACAATTATCAATTATTGAATCTTGGATTTATAAAATCTTTTGTTCATCACATTATAAGTTAAATTATATATGAAAATTAATTTATTTTACTGGAACTCAATTTTTTATATAATTATAGTTCTTTGTGGGATCCTCTGCTTACAATTAATAGATGTTTTATACAATTAATAGACTTTTTTAAAATATTTATTGAAATGTTTGTTATGAATAAAGTGTTTAAGTAACTTTAATGACATGGTCTCAAATGTTTCCATTCTAATTTTCTGATTGTAATTAGTATTTGTAATTAGTGTTTGTACTATTGTCAGTGGAATACTGGCAATGATATTAATATATAGAATATAAACACACACTCTATTTAACTATCAATAAAACTCTCCATAAATAGTATTGATACAATTTTTTGTAAATAGATATAAACACAATTTTAACTAAAACTTATTTCGCCAGAGTATTTCTCTTTTGCAAGATTTGATCGTATTATTTGGGAAAAAATCACTTTTTTTAGATCAAAGTATATTGTTCATATACATTGTAAAATAATTCCTCTGTAAAACACAAATTGTCCTCTTGTAACATAAAGCAAGTAAGATACGAGACGATCTCCTATTCTGATCTTCCACGGTCTTCAGACAGTGTCGCTACCGTCCAGGAAAATAATAAAAACGTTTTTTACCAATTTACAATTTGATATCCACACCATTTATTGTCTCATTTTACGTGTTTCTACGAGGATTGTGGCTCCCGTAACAGTGGGAAGTTCACGGACGTTCGTGACGCGACATTCTTATGAAAATGCATGGCGCGGTTTCTTCACCGAAAAAAAACGAAAGGTCGCGACGCGCGTTTTGAAACGGTATTGACCGGCTGCACTTTCGAAATTCGTTTTGACTGGTGGAATCGTAAAGCGTAGTTTTTACGAGACCGATAATAGGCGCGGGCGCCTACGAGCCTCTCCGTTTGCAGGAGGCTGAAGGAGAAGCTGTTCAGACGCGTATCCGGGATGATGAGAAAAGAAGTGAAGTCGGCCCGGCCATCCTCAACCCACGAGCACTTGAACAGATCCCGTATTTGCGTATATTAATTATTATTAACAATTTAGAATTGTATTCTTCATAAAAGCATAAGGATTAATAAAAAGGATAAAGAGAGATGCGCACGAAAAGAAAATCCAAAAAGATTGACAACTAGCTTAGTTTGTCGTCACTCTTAATCGGCGACGACACTGTTTAGGGATAGAAAATTATTGCAAATTAAAGTACGTAAGAATTTAATTAGATACAGAAGCGAAAATAATTTCTGAACCATCGAAATAATTATGAACGATCAAACTGATTGCTAAAATGTTAAGACTTTTTACATCGCGTTTTACATAATTACATCTGTGTCTGATTAAATTATTAGATACTTCAGCAAAATCATTCTTTCCATATGATATCTCAAAATATTTAACACACCTTGATTTTCGTTTCCAATGTAAATCAATCGTATTCTAATGCTTTTTACAATACTTAGCTTTTTAATGAATTACACAGCTTCATTGATTCAGGCCTGTTTCGCAATTAGCATCAATTTGTTTGTAATTTCTTTGACGTTGGTGTTTCAATTGACAAATTAACGAGACTCGCGGTTAAGATCTCGTCGCGTGGGACGCACGAGTTCCACCGTCGCGTCGCACCGATACAATCCGCCGCCGCTCCAACTCGCGTCTTGCATTAAGAATGCGTGATTTACGAGCAATGTATTGTAGAGATCGCTTCGTCAAGAATGATCTTATAAATAGCGACTCGCGTGTGATTCAGCGCGAACCTGCGGGCGCTTGTCGAGGGCTACGCGTAAATTATTATAAATCGATCCTTGGCCTCGATCCTGACAAAGAAATCTTCGCTCATGGTCCTGCTGAAAGAGCCGCGGATCACTCCGCGAGAGAATATGCTATTCGTGACGTCGTCTCGAAGCCATGAGCAATATGATCTCCGATCTTTCAAACGATGATTAATGAACCCGTAAGACACCCATGCAGAATTACAGATTGTTACTTTTTCTTAATCGCGAGATTAGAAAATTGTATCAGGAATATTGCTTCGTAGAATGTAAAACTGCAATCCTTGTAAAAAAAATTTACTTTCTGTTTTCATCAATACGAAAAAAGAAAAAAAACGGCTGAGATATTTAAAAATTTAGTTAGGTTTGAAAATAATTTCGCTGAAGTATCTAAAAGTTTACAGACGTGAAAATAATTTTGCTGGATCATTAATGTAGAACTCAACCTTACTGTTAGAATGCCAACATTTTTTGCAACACTGTCTATCATTCTTGAGCATCCTACATAATATCCTATATAATATTTCGATAGGCTAACAAAATTATTTTTAGATTTGTTTCCAACTATATTTTTAGATACTTCAGCAAAATCATTCTCTCTCCGTGTCTATCATTATATATATCTCTGAGACTTTTATCTAAACTTTCTTAGTTTTCAACCTGAAGAACTATCGGTGCCGCTATTTTCAAGATACCCATCGTTTCTCTTCGTTTAAAGCTCTACCATTTTCAGAGAAAGCATCAAGTCCTGGCCGGCACTCCTTAATGCAGAAAGATCATCGTCCAACACTCGTTGGACGCTCCCTAAGCTAACGAGATCGATGGCCACTCATCCTACAAAGGAAAAGCGGCGAGAATTTGGATCACCCTTCGAAATTATCCGTCAACGTCGGCCGCAATAATTATAAACAAGAGAATCGCGAGGAGGCCTCGCTTCTGGGGCGAGTTCTTAGAAAGCGTCGTTTATAAATCACGATTCCGTGGGCAACCCCTAATCTTCCACCCCCCGGCATCCTCGTGCCACTCCCCGATCATCTTCTGCCCTTCCACCCCTTAGCACCGTATTCCCTCGTATTTTGGTTTTGCACGCAAAACCACCATCACTTCGCCATTCATCATCCAACGCCGCTCAACCTTCTCTCTGTTTCCGTTTTTCCCATTTCCCACCCCTTTTCAGGGTGGTCACCTCACCTCGCGCCCTCCTTCTCGCCGATGCGATAAAACCCCCTATGAATCGCACGACAATTTAACGCATATCCAGAGACCGTGAAACTCTTCGCAGGGAAGAGAGTTAACCGACAATCGGCCGCACTGCTTCGAATGTTAACGAGTCTTCCGTGCGCAGCTCCAGATGAGAGGAATGATTCCTGGGATGATTGATAGAAATTGCGGAGTGATGAGGAACAACTTGCGGAACAGTCCTAAGTTGAATAAAGAAATGAAGAAAAACAAATAACGATGTCTGTAGTAAAATAATTCATGATTAGGCTTCTTACTCGTTATTTGTTTTATTTTATTAGATAATCGCTATTATTTTATTGATTTTTGTGCGTGTATGTATGGAAAGAACAGTTTTGTTGGAATTTTAAAAAATTCACTAAGTATAAATCTGATAGAAATTTCAAAACAATTATAAGAATTGCTTTAGATGTTCAAACTGATTGCTGAATGTCAAGACTTTTTGTAATATTGCTCATCATGTTTGAGATTCCTACATAATTTAATAGTCTAACAAAATTATTTTCAAATCTGTACCTAAAACATTTTTAAGTAGTTCAGTAAAATTGATCTTTTTATGTGTGTATGTGTGTGCAATCATTTCACGATCACAATTATAACAATAGATTTAGAGACTAGATCAAGTTTGATCTAAAGTGACATGGTAACAATTAGAAAAAAAAAATTTAAAGAGTTTGTTTAAATATCTTCTTAGAAAAAAAGCTCGCTGATAAATTTATTTTTAAAAAACGTCATTTCTGCTTTAAGAAAGAAAAATTGTAAGAAGGTACTTCTGATAATTAAAAAGGCTGCCTGGTCTAAAAAATAAGAAGCGCTACGATAAATTGACCACGAGGAGAAGCATTTCTAAAACCGGCACTGTAGTAATCATCCGCTTTTCATTTGCGAAACGTATTGGCAAGGGATAACGAACGTGAAGCATCCTCGTCTATTAATACAGCCCATAAAGCAGCACCAACGATATCTTTATTCCTCGAGAGTACGAAATTTATGTCGACCAAGAATCGCCCCCTAAATCTCGCCTTCGATCTCCTTACGATTCAAGGAAAATAATGATCGAGATCGAGGATCGAGAGGCTACGCCTCTACCTCGCACGCACTTTCAAGCGTTTCCCTCGGTCACTAATCTATTTGTTTCTCATTAACGAACCAACATTAATCTTCGAACTCATTCGAAGCCACTGCGAGCGAACGTGAGAGTGCAAATGGGACTCGTCATCACGAGGATTCACAGGAGGACTTCTCGGATGTCTCTACTTTGTCCGAATGATTAAAGATTGCCCGTTTTCTGGACTTAATTTCTTCTTACTCGGACTCGGAAGGAACGATTTTGTTGAAGTATCTAAAAATTTAGATAGATATAAATTTAAAAATATAATTTTGTTGGACCGTAAAAGTAATTATCTACTGAAATATGATGAGCAAATGGTTTAGACATTCTAGCAACAACTTGAATGTCCTATAACTATAATATTTTGATAGTCTGACAAAATTAATTTCAGATCTATATTTAGTTGAAGTTTTAGATACTTCATGGAAATTGATATTTCCGTGCAAACAAAAGAAATTATAAATATTTTTGTTCAACGCATTTTTAAAATTTAGAAAAAAATAGAATTATTAGATGCTATCTTAAATATTCAAATCGATCTTACTCTAACAGAGAAATTTAAATAGCGATAAACAAAAATGGCGGAAAAGCGAAATTGAAAATTTGCGCTTAAAGTGAATATCTGATGGCATCAGTGGGATTGCTTTTTTCATTAAAAAAAAATGATTGATTAGAGATTATTCTTACATAATAAGACACCTTTTTTCCCTTATTTCGGCCGCGCTAATCCGATTGACATTTCAGAGTTCACGAATGTCGAGACCCACAGCACAATGGTAGACTCTATCGCGGAGATTTATTGTAAGGGAGCATAACGGGAGAAGATCTCGAAAGAACTGATCGAATAATATTTGCAAAAAGTAAATTAGAGTACTCACAGCCATTTTATACATCTGCCATCTTGGACCAGCAACAACACAAGTAGCAGTAGCCAAACTTTAGCACTGCTTTGCTTCTTTATCCGCATCTTTCCTCGTTTCGCATTTCTAAAAGTTTGACATCGTCTCTCCCCTTGGGTATATCGTGAAGACGATTTTCTGTCCTGTCTTTTAAACACCACTGATCATCCCTCGCTGCGGCGTGATTCGCTTCGCAAAGAGATTCGAGATCTCTTCATTCCGTCCATCGTTCTACGTAATCTCGCAAAGTAAAATTATTTAAAAAATCGACTTTTCAAGAACTGTGCCTTTAATGCATTTTGGGAAAATTCTCTTTTTATTTATCTTCTTTATATATTTCTACTCCGAAATCGTCAATCCTACATCGACGTCGCTACATATTTAGTATTCGAATTTGATTATCGACTCGATGAATTTTTCAAAAATAGTTGGATGACGGATTCGAGTCAGTTTTGGGTCACTTAATTAAGACGAACGATATCTGAAGATACAGCGAAGTCTTCTTAGACTTCTTCGCACGTTGACTCACAGATGAGCGAATAAGAAAGAGAAAGACCGCTTGTCAAACACACGTTGTAGACACACCAGACACCACTCTCTTTAAAATCGGCGGAAAACGGTACGCCTAGGGATCCTTCAGGATCTGCGTCGATTTCGGCGAACTTTCACCGTGCACCGTACGTCTGGCTCGGCGGGGAGTCTGCGTGCTTACAGGTGTCCGTCGGAGCAGTCCCACAGGATTTGCCGGTCGGTGGTGGTGGTGGAGGTCCTCCTACTACTTCACTTCCTCCTACTTCGCCTCCTACTTGAGCCTCCTCTTTCCTCGATGTACGAGGAGCCCAATGATCGACACCGGGGATGCCGCTGAACAAGAAGAAGACGATCGCTGCCATTAACCCTCTCGCTCCCACGAGAGAGCTTTTTTTTTCATTCGTACACTGAACAAAAATTTACTAATTGTAAGTCTTACTACACATCTCTTTGAATAGTAACTAATTGTAAGTGAACATTTACTTACAATAAAATCCGATCAATATTGTATTTTTGTTAACCGATGAATTGCATCTTCGAAGGAAGATGTACAAATTACAAAGAAAATAAAATGTTCCATTAGTATTTTATTTGTGTAGTCCAAAATGTTGCTATATGAAATTTGTATAATTCTCTCAATGTGAACGGGAAGATTTTTATGCCCATCAACGCGAATAATGTTTATACCTCAGTCACTAATTAATTCTGTCAACGCACTAGGCTTTCCTAGCGCTCGCTTCTACCGAAAATTATACATCTCGAGTAATGTATAACGAATAATATCTTAAAAAAGGAAGATGAACGGAGGCTGGAGACCACCTCCGCGGGATTGACTTTAACGAGCAGGCGGTATCTTTGTGATCATTTATTTTACTACAAGGCGGAGCCAAAACAATTTATCCCTGCCTTTACCATTTAAAGGCTGGTGAGCATTGGTGCTTTCTCGCTTCGATTTGTTGATCGGATTCGAATAAGTATCGACTATACAGAGACGCGTTCACATAGAAAAGATTCATCGTATTAAATCTGTCTGGGCTCCTTGATTAGATTCAATTATACTTAACATTTATATGCTCTTATTCAATAGTACATTTTTAGAATTAAATTCTTCTTTAAAAGTAAGCTTCGCATTTAAAAAGAATACATTTATTATATAAAAAATTAATGATTTCTTATTTTAATACAGTCATATCACAAGTAAGCCTACATTATATGAATGCATATAGAACTGCTTTCTGATAATAATTTTGAGTCTTTAAAGTTTCGATTTTATAATGTATTATAATGTTTATGGATAAAATTAATAATATAATTTGTCTACATATAATAATATAATTTATGTAATTAAAATATAATAATTATAATATATATATATGTATAATAACATAGTTTCATATAATTATTTCATAAATTGCAACATTAAGCTTAATCTTTCTCTCGTGCGCATATTTTCTCTCCCAATATGTGCATACATTAATGTCGATCAACGGCAAATCACGGCACAATTAGCGCAAGCAAATTTCATCGAGATATATCGTATGCTTCAATTGGAAGAAGCCACGAGCCCCTTGCCCCTCGCTAATTACCATGCCAATTTTGTCCGCACGGTGCCGATCGTTCGTCTTCCTTCCCGTTCTCCTTGGTCGATGCCTCGCTCGGCCCTTCCGTTGCCCCGCTGCCGTCGATAAATAATCCTCCGTCAGACGTTCATTACGTCGTTAAGTTTCGGCCCCGGACTTATATCCACCCTCCGTCCCGCACGCGGAACCCAACGAGCGGGTTTGCCCGCAGCGGTAACCCTGAAAATACCGCGTGCCGTGTAAAAAGGCATGCTGATCGCACCAATCAATAGAGCGTATCGGCATTAGTGAGGCTGAAGAGCAACGAGTGACTTTCTTAAAAGTTATTATTTCTTTAATATAGACAGAAATTAACTTCTCATTTGAGATGATTAAGGAAATGAATGAGACCACAAGATTAATTTCAGAAAAAAATTCTAGGATAAGAGGAACAATTAAATTTGTTTATCAATTGCACAGAAAGGACGATTTTGTTGAAAAATCTAACAGTTTAGCTAAATATAAATATAGACTGGAAAATAATTTTGTTAGACTCAGAATCAGAATAATTATGTAGAACACTCAAACTTATTACTAGAATGTCGAAACTTCCTGTAACATTGTTTATCACTTCTCAAAATAATTATTTGGTGCTGAACTTTACGAAACCGTTTTTTCTATGTAAATGTTACACATTTACGACTACCCCTTATTTAGAAATTAAATCAGATTTAAATATGAGAATTTATTACGATATTGAGAAACTATGTGTTAATTAATACTTTATGAATAGTTATATAATTAAAATATGTTGTATACAGCGTTGTTTTATTTTCGCTCAATTATTCCCGAGATTATTACCGCCTATATCCGGTAAGATATCGCGATATAAATGTCTACATTGGTCTAACTGTAAAATCAGATAGCGGAGATGCCAACGTTCGTCGGTCGCTCGCAGTAAAGATAACTAGAAAGATCGAATGACAGGCATTAGTTGTTACTTTCGCGAGCCTCGGAAATGCGCAGCGCGCAAATGCATCGTGCAATTACCGCAGCAATGTTGCAAAAGTATTCCGAGAAGTAGAGTGTTTCTCGCCGTGGGCGATTCATGTGGGTGCACGCGCAATAACTTCACGGAACAAAGTAGAAGTATCTCTGTTTGTACCACCCGGTTTACGGAATGAATGGCACATTAACTTATATATTTGCGGTTTGCGCAATGCGTTTACACCTCATTAATTTAAGAGTCGCGGACGAGTAAGCGCATTGCGAACGCCGGAGAATTTCTCGCGCAACTGTATTATGTGCGCCATAAAGTTCGTCTCGTTATTTATCGTTAATAACGCGTTCGTCTAATTAGCCTCTCGCGAGCTCGAATAAACTCTTCTCATTTTTCTTGATTCCCGATTATTTCATCCACGGTGGATGAAGATGTTCATGGAAAAGGATACTTCTGCGTCGCTCGTGAAATTAACGAGAGATACACATCTCTATTTCATTTCTTCCTACTTTCGCAATTCTTTTAAAACTTTTAATCTCTAAACGAAAAGCAAAAAAAAAATATTCGAATATCTAGCTCTAATTTGCTAAGTAAAAATAAAAAAAAGATAGGTTAATAAAAAGTATATAACTAAGGATTACAATTCAAAATAATTTATTAATCCTTAAATATAAATAAATGTGAACGTTTCGATTTAACTAAGTCTTCGTCAGTCACGAAAAAAAGTTAAATTGAAAAAGACAATAAGAAATTATTCAAAATAAGACCACAAGCTGGACAAATTATAGATTAAAATTATTACGAGATGTGACACAAGTCCAAAGATATAATAAATACTATTTCTTCGTTTGAAAGCGAAAAAAAAGTAACGTCAAGTTGATAAATTCCTTATACTATAAGTCATAATGGTAAGACGTGTACGTCCATAGGTTAGTCGTTCGTAAAATTGACAGAATGTGAGACTATATAATTAAAAATTATCAAATTAGAGATTAAAATTACAATAAATTTTTATATATGTGACTTACTATAATATTCTTTGTGGCGTCGAGTGGCTCACCACTCGGTGCGATTGAGTGCGCCCAAACGCGATTTTTCGTGTTTCATGAGCCAAAAATGGCTCCACCTGGTGATCAAAAGATCTATGATCATCAGCGCCGTTCGGAATCGGCGTTAAATTGTAGGTCCTATACATCAATATACATCAGTATATATCAGTAGATATTTGTCTCTGATATCTGACTGAAGGTAGGATTCCGTGGATCAATCACCCACAAATCCGAAAAACAATCTGATTCGAGAAACGAATATATAGGCCTCGGACAAAAGGGGAAGAGACCTATAGACGTCCTATGATCCACATGAGGAGATAAAAGGAGTCATCATCATTATAATATTCTTTGTCAGATAGTACATAGTGTCCAAAAATCAAACAATGTTTCCTTGTCAAGAGATCGTGACATAATGAGATATGTAGCGACATAATGTATTAATATGTTAAATATTAGTGAATTTATTTTAAAGATCAACATTGTAAATTTATTATTTAAGAGATAAGATCCAGTAAATAAAAATATGAGTTGTCAAGACCTTCGGTATCTTTTTGTAAATTAATGCCATTTGAGACTGTTCTTTAATGTGTAACATATCAGAAATTAATCTTCTTTATATTATTTATATATTTTTTTTTATACGGGTTTCGAGTTTTTTTTCGTTTGGCCTACGTATGTTGCGTTACAATCAATGCAATTGATTTTGTATACGACATTACATTTCGAGTAAATATTTCAATTAAAAAAAATAAAATAAAATAGAATCGACTGATCAGGCTGAGTAATGAACTAAGGATGAAGGATCATCGATGAGGCGTCGATACCAAAAATAAACGGGTTAAAGATACGGACTTTATAAAAGCGGAAAAATTTTAACCGAGGCCGAGAGAAAGAGAGCATTTCCTTCGTCTCAGATTATTTTCCGGCGTTATTCGCCGAAGAAGACATCGGCTATAAAAAAGGGACAAGCAGATCCGGCGACAGCTGCTTCGCTATTAAAAGCGACTTAAACTCCAAACCCTTCCCGCGCGATCGTAGAACGCGAAGGTATCCCTTCTCGCCCCCTCCCCTTTCCAGTCACTCACTCTCTATTTCTCATCCACTCCCTTTCGCTTCTTCTTGTTCCTCTTGCTCTTCTCCACGTCGTCGTGCCATCCCTCTTCTCGTGATTACGCGCGGCGCGGGCAAAGAGTAAAGCCACGCGTACGCGTCTACGCGCCTGCGACTTCTTGCCTGCAAATAAGCGAATTGCTAAATGAGCCGTAAAGCCGAAACCTCGGGGATGTGAAGAAGGAGACGAGGGCAGAATGCACACGGGCCCCGCTTGGTTGGTCCTAGATTAGAATTTAGAGCCGGCATCCTCTCCGCCTCTCCGCGGGCACGTGGGGAACGGCAGTAAAACACGTTCAAGAAGAATGGCTGTTCGAAATATTAAAGAGCGAGATGAGAAATGGACGCGCGTCCCAATACAGGGTTATTGCCCCTCTCCGTTTATATCCCGCGATAACTTTTACAGCTCTGTGGGTATTAATTAAGAAACGCGTTTCTCGCTTCTTATATCTTTTATTGTTATAAATCATTCGATTTAGGCAAAAATGAAAGATGCGTATGCAGAGGAGATAGATAAAATAATGATACTATCGACTTATTTTCTTAACGAGAATAAGTTGACGTACCCATGTTGTCTCTAATACAAATTCTATCCTTGTTGAAATAGTCATACTTGCTTGAACAGTGCAGTACCTGCTACAGTGTAATATTACAATATATCATTCTTTTTGTAGAACGTCTTCTAATCGTTTAAAAGACGTTGGAGGAAGAAATATGTTTCTCATTCTACTTTTTAATAAAAATAACAAATAAAATCAGGCGATTATAGCAGCTAAGAAGAATGTTTAAAAAACAGAGGACAATTTTGGAAAATAAAATGAAAAGAAAATTTTCTTCTCCAATATTATATTTATATAAGCAACTGAAAGATGTTCTAAAAGAATTGTATAATAAACAATATGAAGTCAAGGGCGATATAAGAGTCAATAAAGATTTTTGTTCAACAATAAAACATATAATTAATAACTACTTTCGAATAATTAATTTGATAGACATTAACATAACGCTAATTCGCTTTCAAACAAAAATTTTTATTGACTCTTATATCGCCCTTGACTTCATTATTGTTTATTTTTATATAACGAGCCCTTATTTCTTTTTCTATTAATAGTATAATATTTTATTCGTAATTTATTAAAGCATTGAGTGACTATATTTCAATAAGGATAGAATGTGTATTAAAAGTAAATGATGAGACAACCTTTTATTAATAAAATAAGTAAGAAAATAAATAGTTTATTTTCAGGTGTTTACATTATTTTGTGTACCCTCCATATTGATCATAATCGTAAGGTTTTCAAAGGATTTTTGTTTTTTACATCAAATAATTAATCAAATTTTGGGGAGGTTCCCCCCCCCCCCCCCCCACTTTCATGGAAAAACTTTAGCGATAACTGGTGGAGAAGGGAAGTGTGGAGGCCCGCCATCAGAGGGCGCCAGTGAATCTTTCTCGCAAGTGCTCGAGAAGCTCCAAGTCCCTTTATATAGAATTTCTCACCAAGACTTGCCAAGGCGAGGAGGGTCGCCTGGTAATCCTCCTCGATGTTGTGCCACCTTGTCGTGGTGAGGAGGTGCATCCCCGTTGACTCTGAGAAAGAAGTCAACGGGTGTCCAAGAGCGCGTTACCGGTAGTCCCGGAAGCGGGACCGCTTCCGGGCCGCTCACACCGGAATTCGTACGGTTGTTACGTCTCATGGCACTGAGGAAGCAGTGTCGGCTACCGGGCATCTACAAAAAAGGGCCTTACCCGGGCTTTGCCCGGGTGGACCTCTCCCTCACCTTTTCGACTACACTCGTGGGGTATGTTAAGTTAGCACCCCAACTATAGTACTCAGGAGTTCTGATTAAAGTTCCTACTTCCTTTTGACGAGACGAAGAGTTCCCTATAGTTAATAACAAGAGTTCCGCCCAATAAACATTTTTTTACATTTTTTAAAAATGGGGTGCTAACTTTTTTTATCGAATTTCGAGGTGGAATAGTTCTGAGCGGCTTAATAGCTGCAATTTGCGATTGCCTAGAATTCCTGATATGTAAAAAAAATTTTCGAATATAAAAAAAAAATTAAAAATTTTTGAAAAATTAATTTTTAGATACAATAGTTCTGATGATAATTCCTGCTTCTTTTTGACGATACGAAGAGTTCTCTATGATTTTTAATGGCATATGCGCTTAATAATCATTTTTTAATAAATTTAAAAAATGGGGGGCTAATCTTTTAACGAAATTCAAGGTCACATAGTTCTGATCAGCTTAACAGAACTATTTTGTGAATACCTAGAGTTCTTGATACATTTTTGAAGAATAATAAAGTTTAAAAAAAATAGTTGAAATCTTTAAAAGTTTTTTTGAGAGTACCGAGTAGTTCTGAGTAGCGTTTCTTATAGTACTCGACGAGTTCTATCGAAAACTGTAAGGTGAAAAAGCGATTAGACCAACGGTTTGTAAGATACAGCGACATTTGTTATGTTACATTTGTAAGATCATACAATTTTTAAATGAGTATATCTCAGAAACCGTTGGTCCAATCGCTTTGAGCCCTGATACTTTTCGACAGAACTCGCCGAGTACTGTCCAGAACTCCGAACAGAACTACTCGGTACTCCCAAAAAATTTTGACTTTAAATTTTTTTCAAAGTTCCACGTCAGAAAATTTTTTGAGAGTACCGAGTAGTTCTGAGTAGCGTTTCTTATAGTTCTCGACGAGTTCTATCGAAAACTGTAAAGTGAAAAAGCGATTGAACCAACGATTTCTGAGATATACTCATTTAAAAATTGTATGATCTTACAAAAATGTAACAAATAATGTCGCTGTATCTTACAAACCGTTTTTATTTAGGTCAAAAATTTTTTGGGAGTACCGAGTAGTTCTGTTCGGAGATCTGGACAGTACTCGGCGAGTTCTGTCGAAAAGTATCAGGGCTCAAAGCGATTGGACGAACGGTTTCCGAGATATGTATACTCGATCATTCTAAAAATTGTTGATCTTCTGATAAATGTCGCTGTATCTTGCAAACCGTTGGTCCAATCGCTTTTTCACCTTACAGTTTTCGATAGAACTCGTCGAGTACCATAAGAAACGCTACTCAGAACTACTCGGTACTCTCAAGAAAATTTTCAAAGATTTCTACTATTTTTTTTAAACTTTATTATTCTTCAAAAATTTTTTTTTACATATGAGGAACTCCAGGCAATCGCAAATTGAAGCTATTAAGCCGCTCAGAACTATTCCACCTCGAAATTCAATAAAAAGTTAGCACCCCATTTTTAAAAAATGTAAAAAAAATGTTTATTGAGCGAAACTCTTGTTATTAATTATAGGGAACTCTTCGTCTCGTCAAAAGGAAGTGGGAACTCTAATCAGAACTTCTGAGTACTATAGTTGGGGTGCTAACTTAACATACTCCTTTCCAAAGCGACTTCGTCAGATGGATAGACGAACAAGATAGCAAATCTTGGGATAAAGATTTCGCTAAAGTGCAGTCTGTTAATTGCGAATTAAAGATTAAAGCTTTTTTTTGTCACATATTTGTATTTATATCTGTGAAGCTTAAGTGATTTGTTGAAATAAATTAATAATACTTTTTCCTATGATAAAATAATTTTATATCAAATAATTAATTTTCCTAAAATTGTTTTTTTCTTGCATCAAACGATTAATTTATCTACAAATAGAATGTGTGAACGTGATTGTTGCGTAAGTAACTGATAAATACGAAAAAATGTAAGACGGATGAGCTTACGATACTTTGTGGATTTTCACGCTCACCGACAAAATCGGACGTCGCGAAAGTTTAGAACTGTCTATTTGCATGGACACGATTAATTAATACGATACCGGTAATTAAATAGATATCAACCTTCTCCGCGTACGGTAGCATCTAATCTGCATAATCTCTATACAATAACGTTAGTGAAAAGAAGAGTTTTGTCCCTCCGCGATAAACTTTTTGCCACCCTCCCTTAACGGTCAACACCCGCTACCCCGCTAATAATGATATACAGGGTGACTCAAAACGAGTGAATGGAACATTAATAACGACACGATACTAAAATCTGGAACAAAGAAATAGAGATATTAAAAGTAGTAAAAATAAAAATAAGTCTTATCCTGGGAAAAAGTATTATTAATTTATTTCAACAAATCACTTAAGCTTTCACAGGTATAAATATAAATACGTAACAAAAGAAAGCTTTAATCGTTTATTCGCAATTAACAGACTGCATTTTAGCGAAATCTTTATCCCAAGATTAATCAAAGTATTCTATGTATATAGTGAAGTATTCCAATATATAAATAAATTATAAATTCCCCCTGGATTAGGTATCATAATTTAATAATTATTAAGTATGAAATTATAATTTAATATTTTATAAAATTATTTAAGGTCATAATATTATTGCTTTTAATTAATTTTGAGATTGTCGATTATTTCAGTGTTATTACAAAATTTAATTATAATGTTTAAATTTATCTCGCTATATAATTTAAATGTAAAAATTCTTAAGTCATTTCTAAAATGATATGCAGTTTTTCCATTAAATATACAATTAGTCAATGTAAAAGTCAAAATCTGTAAATAAATATATGTGCGTTTTTTTTTTTTTTCGAGAATTAGTAAATGATCATTTTTTAAAAAGAATTATTGCAAAACGAGAAGAACAGAAATCAGATCGTGTCAAAAGATAAAAGAAGGCAACATTATATCCGAGAAGCTCTTCGCGATTAAAAATATAACAAATATATGTATCTTATCGTTAGTATCAAATTGATCTCAAGACTTATCTATTTGTGACAACAATTAACATATGCATCAACGTCTCAAAACAGTTTTCAATCGCGTTTCTCAGCGGAATCACAAACGGCCTCAAACAAGGTCGAAGTAAAGTTATATGTCGTTACATGTCTTCATAGCTCCGTTTATCGTGAAATCTATTTTGTTGCTCGCCACATAGTCGTCCGGCAACCAGGGCATCCAAGTGTTGTTAAAGTTGGATGGATAGCCAGCAGGATCAGAATCTAAACTGATCTCTTTCTCGAAGCCCAACATTTTGTAGCAGTCAATAAGCTCGATCAAACTTTGCACGATCTGCAAGCGTAACGACATTTTCTTAAGTTAGCAGAATCTCCCGTTTCCATCTTGTCTATCACCAGCAGATGGAACGATTTTCACGAAATTAATTGTACGAATCATTTTCTTTTCTAGCAATCGGAAAGTCACAAATATTGATACGTATTAAACAGTTATAATTTAATATTACAGTCTTGGACATGAGATGTAAAAACACTCGCAAAAATTGATGTAAACTTCCTACAGCTAATTTATTTCATATTTATCTTCTCTATTTTTATTTACTCACGTTCAAGACACGAAAACATGTAACTGTAATGCAATTGTAATACGATATTAAGTATATGTTGGACTATCATTAAATACAAAGTAAATTCTTACTACTCCAATTTACTGCAATAATATTCACATTTACTTCGTGTTCGTAATTCTCTCACTTTCCTCTAAATGTTTGTTATTTTGCAATTTTAATTTAAGCTCACCTCAGGATATTGCGAGGATATATCCGTAATTTCGCAAGGATCTTCATAGATATCGAATAAGCAAGTGCGATTCTCGCAACTGGAGGTATTTGTAGGATCCTTGCAAACTACCGTGGCCTCTTTTCGGAGCTTTTCTATTTTACTCGCAGTTACAACGTGAGTTGAAACATTCGCTATGGCCAATGCGGCTGGTGACTTTAACACATTTGTCACGTTGTACTTGGGATATGACGGATTGCTACCGTTATAGTTAGTATAATGCTTCTGATAGTCGGATTTATCTGTATAAGAAAAAAGTTTTATTTGTATAATTATTAGTCACGTATTCTTAAACTAAATCCTAGATGAAATCAGAGACTTCAGAAGAGAAAAAGAAAGACAAAATTTATAATAAAACCAAAATAATGAAAAAAGAATATTGACATGTATATAATACCTTGAACGAGTTTGTAACGTCCCTTTAATGCCGCACTGTTGTCAACATCCTCGATATTTATGACAACCGATTTCCGCTTTGTAGCTTCCTCTGTCTTGATTGTGGACCACTGGTTAATGCCGTCCAAATTATTTAAATCCTTTGAATTACCGCCAGCTGCGGAGTATAGTGTAGGTAGCCAATCGGTAATATGAAATAATTGCGTCGAAATTATCGACGATTTCTCAATCAAGGGTGAGTAAATGCATGCCGCACCTCGAACACCTCCTTCGAATAGCGAGAATTTCAACTGCAAATGTATTGTTTTCATTTTTTTAAATTTAACTGTAAATACACCGTTTTATTTGATATTACATATTTCTTAGGTAATTTCAAAATCTGTTGTAATTTTAGTTATTCCTTTAAACATAATTATAATAAAAACAATATTAATAAGTGGCTCCAATATTAAAATAAAACAATATATATATATTTATTTTTCTAATAAAGGCTACAAGCCATGAATAAACAAGTAACATTGAATTGCCTTAGTTAATAAAATTACGTACACCATTACCAAAAAAGTTTCTAATGTAATAATTATAATAATTCTATACTATCGTCAATGATGATGTCATCGTGTACTAATAGCGATATTAAATTAGTAATCCTAAACGAAAACTTGAAGAGTATAAAATTATAATGTCTATTCGTTTGAATAAAATTGTATTTACCCCTCGCAATGGATAATTGGATCCAAAATTTTCCAAGAAACCTTCGGTCTGTGCTCCATTATCGCTCATAAATAGTATGATCGTATTTTTTAACATGTCCTTCTTATTAAGAGCATCGACCACCCGACCAACCGATTTATCTAACGTAGCAACAACACCTAAAAAATGATTCAAGAAAAAATTTCATTACGTTCTATTATTGTATAGATTCTTAATCGTTGCAACTTTGGTTTCATATAGTAAAATAATATACACAAATGCATTACACAACAAAAGGAATTAAAAGAGAGAACTATTTAAATCGCTCCTTTACTGAGGAAATAAGATTAGTTTCTTTTTTTAAGAAATCTGTTTGTTGTTTATGCAACAATTAAAGAAATTTTGCTGTAACAGCAAAACATTTGTTGTCAACAAAATTAATTGTTACATACAAAACGAAGAACTATTCATAATCGCTTTCTCAAAATTTATATCTGAAGACTGTTTCGGTATTTCTGTTAACGACACTTTTAATATAAACGACTAAAGTCGATATTTGTACTTACTTGCGAATTTCCTTCTATTCAGGTCTTGAATGTAGCCGAGAGTAGCATTAGTTTCTTCCCAATCATATACTTCCATGATTTCTTCGGCATCGCTAGCATGTGAGGCGAGATGTGCTAGTTGGAGATACATGGGTTTCTTAGTATTATGCGATGAAATAATACTTTCAGCCTCCTCGGTTATAATATTAGTCATGTAGTCATATCTGTATTCAACTGTGTTATTGTCGCCTACAATACGGTGTAAATCATATCCTACTTGTCCCTGCAAAATGTCATGCAGTCTATTAAATAACGTAAATTACTTAACATTGTTATATATATACATACATATAGCCTTGATATATGTATGTATGTATAAGTATAACTCAATTTAATCGGATGAAAAAATACTGACCACAGTAAAAACCACAGAAAGATTAACAAAGTAAGTTCAAATTGTTATAAAAGTATAAAATATTATTTTCCAGTAAAACTGTTTTTAATTTATTTTTCGTTAGATATATAAAATATTTAAGTTAATTTTTTATAAACTGTTTTAAACACTTATGGTTAAGTTTGTATAACAATTAAGGCTATTAATGCTATTATACATTACGTCGATACCAACATATCGATGACTTTTATTCGATAGTTAACGTAATTGTTGTAAAAGCGTTTACACTGATAATATAGGTTTTAATAATTGATCAATTTATCAATTAACCATAAACATTTTTCCTACCGTCTTAAATAAGTACTATATCTAACTCAGTTCTGTCCAATTTGAGTTCCGGAGCCAAAAAAACGCAAAATCATGGACAAAAAAATTCAATCTGAAATTTCAGGAACTGCAAAGTATTGATAATGTCGCTCAGATGCGTATCAACATCTTATAGTTTCTGAAATCTTATTCTCATTGAATTTTTGCATCGATATCTTCGCGTTTTAGTTGCTGAGCTGAAATTGGAAGTTTGACCTAACTCGACATCAACTAAAATTATAACATTAATTTTATGTATCACATAACATTAATGTTATAATTTTGCAATCAATAAAATAACTATATACTATATAATACTGAGTTATATTATATTATTGAGTGCAAAATTTTGAAATTGATGCTGTTTGGTGTTGTCTTAGATATGTTTAAGATAGATTTATTTAAGACGGTGAAAAAAATTTTTTATTGTTAATTAATAGACTAGTCAAATCTCTATTATTAGTCGCAAACGATTTTACAACAATTACGTCAAACATCAAACAAAAGACACGTATCCATTTTTCTATTACAATTTCATATAATGATACTGTTCTTCCCTAGCAATGGCTAATTATAGAAAACTTACGTCTTGGGATGTTGTATGATTGAAGTATTGAATTAAGCCGTTGTAATATCCTAAGAAAGTATCAAAACCACGACGAGTGGGTCCATAATTTCTCGTGAGATAACCAACATGCCATTTCCCTACGAGATGAGTAGTATATCCGAGTCTACGAAGATATTCAGGTAAAAGAGTATCGTTCAAGTGCATACCACGTGGTTCGGCTGCTTTCAAGGGGTATCCCTGCATGCCTATATGGGTAATTAATTTATAAATTAAATTCCAAATAATTTCCTTTCCATCTAATCAGGTTCGATGTTTTTACGTACAATATGGTATTTAGAATCAGAAAATACAAAATTATACAAATAACGGAAGAACTAATAATAATATTTTAAAGATAAACTTTCAAATATCTTACATTAACACTCTATTGGTACATCCTTTTATTAGACACAAACATTTTTAGTAATTTTAAATTGAGATATTACTTATTGGAATGTCTTTACCTTTTAATTTTAATATTAATAGATAATAATAAATAATAAATAAATAAAATGGAAATAAATAATAATAAATTAATTAATAATTAATAATAATAAATTAATAATTAAGAATAAATAATTAATTAAGGAAAGTTGAATGAATTAAACTCTCATTTAGATTTTAGGCCGGTAAGTGAAATAGAAGATTGTCGCGGTAATTTGCGTAAAATGACACCGTGTCATTATATATTTTATATAGTATATGCACATAAAATTTATCTGCTGTAATTAATGGTTTACCTGTCCTTAGAGGATGTCGTCCAGTGAGGAAAGCTACTCTTGATGGTGTGCACACTGGCAATACATAATGTCGATTCAATATTATGCCATTGTATGCGAGAGCGTCTATATTCGGAGTAGGGATCTCATCGGCACCGTGAAAGCTAACATCGTTCCATCCCTTAGTTAACAAGATACAGATACAGATACTATATTCAAAAATGTGTTATATATATATATAACACTAATATGCAAATTTACACTTTTGGATCATTGTCTTTGGATAAATGTTCATTATCGTTTGCCGTAGTTTTTTAGATGCTGAATATGAATTCGCCATTTCTAAAAGCTATCAAAGAGGCAAAAATAATAATTTTGGTATAATGTGGACAGTAACTTTGCAATAGATAAAAAAAGCATTTTATTGGAAATTAATACTGCATTGTGTATAGAAAGTAAATGCTTTTGAACTCATCTTATAGTGTATTTATATTAATATATAACCGGCTTATATCAAAACAGCATATAAAGCATTAAAATATCAATGGAATGTTGTCGCAGCTTAAATGCAGTGCTTTTGCTAAATACGGCTATTGTTTCAACATTTTTCAAAAGTTATAACAGATAAATTGGGACAACGTTTTTAGCTTTAAAAATATTAGTGTAGTCATTTAGTTTCATAATTATTTTGCTGTAAAGAAATTCGCATAGTCACACAAGAATATGTAAAACTTCAAAAATTCGAATTATTTAAAAACTTTGAATTTTCGAAAAAGTCGAAAGTAATAACCTTAGTTTAAATCAGATATTTTTTATTGAATTATCTACGTATTACACAAGACATGAAAATTGAATTTTTTACAAATGTTTTTTAATTAAAATTAGATATTGTAAAAATCGTTCTCTGAGTTACTCTCTTCTTTACGAGAGATTTAAATAATATTTTTACATAAATATATATTTTAAGTTACTTTTAATTTTAACACTCCGCGAAAAAGTAAGTTTACTTTTAACCTCATTACATGGATAAAATAGGTCGATAATAATTTCTTACAAGATCATCAGCGATGATAACGACAATGTTGGGTGGTTGCGTAGCTGCACAAGTCGAACCGAAATAAAGGCTCACACTTAAAACTGTCAGTACGAAGACAAATGACATGTTGTTCTGACTAATTGCTCTCACTAATTTTTTTATTAGTTCGATATTATCATAGTTACGTTAAATTCATATATTCTCACGTGGAATCGTCGTTACCACAATGAGCTGTTTAAATTTTGAAAAGTTTAGACCAGTAAAATAATTAACAAAGCGATTAATGTATCTATCTTTACATTTTATCTTTTTACATATGAACGAATTGTGGTAAAAAAAAAATTGGGAAATTAAAAAATAATACAAAAATGTTATCTTATCGCTTGATAATCTATAGATTTTGCCTTTTTTCTTATCGTAACTTTTCGTAAAAACACGTTCAACAGTAGTAGTTGAACATTTCTTCAGATTTGCATTGGACTTGATACTGCAAAGTGCGGCATACATGGCGAAATTTATAGGTGTATACGACAGAGCGATAGCATTCACGCGATTAACATGATCTAATTATATTTTTATATGCATTCATACATATATGCATATGCATGTAAGCTGTAAAATACAATTGCAGTTTTTATCTTATCATTAGTTTTCACGTCGTTGATATGGAATATTGTTCCTTAAATATTACGTGCAGCAAATTACGTAATCATCGTATCATTTAAAATAAATTTGTAAATACAATACTTTTTTATTTAATATATGCGAAACTATAATTAATAGAGAGATAATTTAGAATACATTAAAAATATCCAAATATTAATTTTATTTTAAAATTGTACGCATTTCCTATTATGTGCAATAATGTACAATATTAGAAATTTTTGTTGAAATTATAAGATACAACATCAGAATTTTAAGAATAATTTAGTAAATTTGCTATAAATGTTCCTAACTTTCGTTTTCAGCACCTTAAATTAGTAAAATTAGGTTACTTTAGTATCTTAAATATGATGGAATTTTCTGAACATTTCTAACAATATACATACAATTTGTACAGTTAATTATAAATTATTATTTAATTACAAAACATATATGATATAATGGTTTGTAATAATAAAATAATAATTTTAAAAAAAGATACTAAAAGATATCTTTATATTCTAATAATAATAATATATTATAATAAAATAATAGTTTCCGGTATTTATATAATACAAATTTTGCATTTTAATGCTGCGATTGATTTAATTTTTTATATATTATTATTATAAAGTAGGTCAGTGTGAATTAATAAGAAGACCATAAAATATAATTTGCTTTTATATTAGATTGCTTAATCTTAACATAAATTGAATAATAAAAGGCTCAAACGAAAATTTAACGAAAGAAATTGAAAAGGACGTATTTCGGTATATTAATAGATAGGTATACATACATATGTCCTTCTAGAATTACAATTGTTTTGCTGAATTCACAATTTTATTCCGCGCATGCAATTGTGAAGGAAGGACAAACAGGTTTAAACGAGCATTAATTGAGATAAGTAACTGGCAAGTTTAGATTAGTTTAAATGACTCAATCTTGAATAGAGACATATAATAAAGCATAGGAGATAATTCGAAATTCACACATTGATACATAGAAAGTTACATAAAAAATTATTGATTATAACTGATAAGACTATTTGAAATTATGTATAAAATTATCTCTGTCGTATGTGCCATTTTTCTCAAAAATTATCTTTTTTTCAAAGAATTATTGAAAAAACTCGGATTATGTCAGAAGACAAAGAAAGAAAACACTATCTTTCGTTTAAAAAGGTGATTAAAAATGTAACAAATATGTTTCTTATTGATTTAAAAATTTATCTATTTGTGATAATGAAATTAACGAATACATCGTTATCTCAAAACTGGTATGAGTCGAATTCTTCAACAGAATCGCAAACAGTCTCAGATAAGGTCGAAGTAAAGTCATTATACTTCCACGTAGTTTCGTTCATTGTAAATTGTATTTTATTGCTCGGTTCAAAATTGTCCGGCAACCAGGGCATCCAAGTATTGTTAAAGTTAGACGGATAACCAGCAGAATCACGGTCCAAACTGATCTCTTTCACGAAACCCAGTCTTTTATAGCAGTCGATGAGCACATTCAATCTCTGTACGATCTGCAAACGTAACGATATTTTCTTAAATTGGCAGCATTTCCTATTTTTCATCTCCAGGTAGAGCAATTATGTAATTATTTGTACGAGTTATTTTCTTTCCTAGCGATTGTAAAGTCATTGTTGATGCATATTACACCATAATTCAATAATGTAGTCTTGAATGTAAGTATAAAACATCCGCAAAAATTTGATGTAAACGTTCTATAACTTATTCCATATTTAATTTTCTCTATTATTATTTTCAAATGTTTGAAATATTGTTATAAAATGAATATTTACATATAATATAATATAAAGAGGAGTAGACGAACTGCGAACATCTAAAGGAAAATAAAGTCGATTATTTATCAATTATATAGAAATCTGTATTCAAAAGATATACTCTACTTATTTAGTTTCAAACCACACATAGGGTGCGATCCACTTCACACTGCAAATGCTTTGAAGCATTCTTTGATTGGTCAATTTGTAAAATTCTTTCTTCTGATTGGTCAACGAAGCATTTGCAGCGTTAAGTGGATCGCACCCATACATTCATATATTATAAATATAAATACTTCAATTTTAAACAAAAAATAACACTTAATTATTATTTGAACTTATCCGCTATTATGGCAATGGCAAATTGGATTTTGTTTTTCTTTAAAATTATAGTTTTATACATTGATAACGTGAATATTAATTATTGTAATTTAAAGCAAAGCGCATAAATGTACACCTTTAAATAAAAACTTCTATAATTGATAAATATAATTATTGATTTTATTTAAATTTTTCCTTAGATATATATTTGCAATTCCCTCTCACCTATATCAAACACATCGATAACATTATTATGTAATGATACTTATCTGAATCAGCATGTGCGTTTTATAGTCACGTGTTGTGTAGTGTAGCATTAACTGTAATCGCACTATCACTAAATGCAAGATATAAATAACAGTTCTCACTACTTTCTCTCTTTCCCTAAATATTTATTATTTTGCAATTTTAATTTAATTCTTACCTCAGGATACTTCGAAGATATATCTGTAACTTCGCAAGGATCTTTGTAGATATCGAACAAGCAAACGCGGTTCTCGCAACTGGAGGAATTCGTAAGATTCTTGCAAACTACCGTGGCCTCTTTCCGGAGTTCTTCTATTTTACTCGCAATTACAACGTTAGTTGAAACATTCGCTATAGCAGATGCAGCTGGTGATTCTAGCACATTTGTTACATTGTACTTGGGATACGATGGGTCGCTACCGTTATAATATGTATAATGCTTCTGATATTCGGACTTATCTGTATCAAAAAGATCATAGTTTATTTTTGTATTAATTGTTTGTTCTTAAACTGAATTTTTGATGAAATCATAAAGACTTGAGAGAAAGGGGGAGAGAGAGAGAGAGAGAGAGAGAGAGAGAGAGAGAGAGAGAGAGAGAGAATAGATTTATAATAACATTAAGTATAATAATAAAAAACAATTACTGATATACGTACCTTTAACGAGTTTATAACGTCCAATTAATGCCGCACTGTTGTCAAAATCGCAGATATTTATAACAACGGATTTCCGATCGCTAGTTTTCTTTTTCTTGATGGCAGACCATTGATCAATACCGTCCAATTGGTTCAAATTACTCAAATTACCGCCAGCTGCGGAGTATAGTGTTGGTAGCCAATCGGTAATATGAAATAATTCAGTTGAGACTCTCGACGAGTGCTCAATTAAGGGTGAGTAAATGCACGCCGCACCTCGAACAGCTCCTTCGAATAGGGTAAATTTCACCTGCATACACATTATTTCATTTTTTAAATTCAACTATAAATACACCGATTTATTTAAAATTGTACATTTCTTATGCAATTTCAAAATCTGCCACAATTTTAACTATTTCTATACACAATTATAATTTATATAGTGTTCCTAACGACGATGTTATTGTATACTATTAGCGATCATAAATTAGCGATAGTCACGAATAAAACCAAACATGGAATTGTAATTTATTTTGATACATTTACCCCTCGTAATGGATAATTGGATCCATAATTTTCTAAAAGTCCTTCAGTCTGCGCTCCATTATCAGACATGAAAATTATGATCGTGTTCTTCAACATATCTTTTCTATTCAATGCATCGACTACCCGACCGATTGATTTATCTAATGTTGCAACGACACCTAAAATATACAATGTTAAATTATAATGTTACGTAATAAAAATGCGAATACACATTGCAATGTTACAATTATAGCATTCTTATTGTAGCTAAAACTAAAATGATATAAAATGAGGAGATAACAGACGTCTGCGAAGTCAAAATTATTGATCAATTTGAAACGGAATACACATATAATACTGAGAAAAATATTTAGCTCTTGCATTAAAAACTTGTTACCGCGAAATTTTAACTTCTAATTTCTCATAAAATTCATATTTTGTTAACAAAAATGACACTCTTATAATAAAAGCATAAGAAATATAAAATTGTACTTACTCGCGAACTTCCTTCTGTTCAAATCTTGGATGTAATTGAAAGTGGCATTCGTTTCTTTCCAATCGTATACTTCCATGACTTCTTCGGCATCGCTAGCATGTGAGGCGAGATGTGCTAGTTGGAGATATATGGGTTTCGTAGTATTATGCGATGAAATAATACTTTCAGCCTCCTCGGTTATAATATTAGTCATGTAATCATATCTATATTCAACTGTATGATTGTCGCCTATAATACGGTGCAAATCATAGCCTACCAGTTTCTGCAAAATATTATATATTAGTTAATGTATTAGTTAATATTGTTGTATAGCTTTAATTATAAGTATAAAGCACTCTCAATTTATTCCGTCAAAAATGTATGGGTAACAATAAAAGTCAAAGAAAGACATTAAATCTCTTATAAAAGCAGACATTACTTTTCAATGAAATTGTTTCTAATTTATTTTTTGTTAGATATTATATAGAAAATTACGTCAGTTCTGAAACTGCTTTACACTTGTAGCTGAGACTGTAAATAACAATTATAATACAGGCACAGAAACAGTCGACTTCAATTAAAAGTAACATATAACATCAATGTTGTAATGTTGCACTTAATAATATAACCATGTTATATTACTGTTAAGTTAAATTATAACATTGTAATGTTATATTACTTTTAGTTAGTGTCGACTTGAATATTTGTTTATAACAGTAAAAATGTCGTTTATTACTAATTGATAGACAGCTAGATTTTTATTATCTGTTATAATAAGTGATTTTACAACAATTACGTTCAACCATCGAAAAAGGACACATCGATATTTTTACTGTAATTTTCTATAATGCTACTGTCTTTCTCTAGCAATAGTTAATTATACAAAACTTACGCTTTCATTTAATGTATGATTGTAGTATTGAATATAGCCATTGTAATATCCCAAGAAAGTGTCGAAACCACGACGAGTGGGTCCATAATTTCTCGTGTGATAACCAACATGCCATTTCCCTACGAGATGAGTAGCGTATCCGAGTCTACGAAGATACTCAGGTAGAAGAGTGTCGTTTAAATGTATACCACGTGGTTCGGCTCCTTTCAACGGATAGCCCTGCATTCCTATATTGTAATTAAATTATATTCCACACAATTAAATTCCAATTCGATCACCTGCTGCATAGGACGCCGGCCCACGGCTAGCTCTATATTAAGATTATAATTACAAGACGATGAAGGTGATAGAGATTTATATCAAAATCGTAGAATTTACACACACAATTATTCTGAGCTGAAACTATGTTATACACATTGCAAAAAAAATGTATAAACTGTATTATAGGAAGACGTTTAACACTACAAAATGTGTGATATATAATTTATCTGCAAATAATTAATGAATTACCTGTCCGTATTGGATGTCGCCCGGTGAGAAAAGCTACTCTTGATGGTGTGCACACCGGCATTACGTAATGTCGATTCAAAATCACGCCGTTGTATGCAAGAGCGTCTATGTTTGGAGTAGGAATCTCATTGGCACCGTGGAAGCTAACGTCGTTCCATCCCTTAGTTATCGAGATATATATTAAAAAACGTATTACATAACATTAAGGTAAAGCCTACAACCTAACGCACATAAAATGCATAATAGAGGATTGGCTGTCCCTGTTACTGTGTCTCTATTTTTTATTTAAACAAACCATAAAAAAAACTAACACAAATAAATAAAAAAAAGTACTTTTTTTATTATAAATTAAATTATTAATGTATACACAATATACCAAAGATACTATTTTATTTTTTAACTATTAAAGTGTTTTAATCGAAAGATTTTTTCGAAAGATACGAGGAATCTATATGAAACTACAGTAATACGTCTACTGCAAGATTTTAAGCTTGTCCCTATTAGTGTGTCCTGTAGAGCTGAGAACATTGTATATGAGTACTTAAACATTGAAAAAAGTGTATAATTGAAATAATGGTTTGTGTAATTAACTTAAACAATTAGCTTACATTTATTATCTGTTTTACGTTAAAGTGGATTAAATGCGGATAGACACACAAATTGGGGGCATATTAATAGGATCGCCACTTGGAGAGGACACCCTATACATGACTATATGTATAATAAGAACAAAAACATCTTTTATTTTTATCAAAAACATTATAAAGTATTAATATTTGTTAGATTAAAGAAGAAAATTATTATATATTATAATATAAGAGAAAAAATAGTTAAAAAATCGATATTGACCCTAGCAGATAAAATTAAAGCTACAATATTTAATAATTACTTCAATAAGCAAAGTGGATTAAAGGCATACTAATAGGAACAGTTACCCTATAGTCACAGAGGATAATAATTTCTTACAAGATCATCAGCGATGATAACGACAATGTTGGGTGGCCGTAAGGAGGCCCACGTCGAACCGAAATAAAGACTCACACTTAAAATTGTCAGTAGGGAGACAAATAACTTGTTCAAATTCATCGTTTTCACTAATTTTTCTATTAATTTGGTATTATCAAAGTTACAATTTCACACACTATCACGTGGAATCGTTGATACCACTGTTTATATTTTGAAACGTTAATGTCCCAGTGAGAAATGACAATAGAATCGATGTCGAATCGATGTCAATTCGACATTGAATTGACGATTTCGACGTCAAATTGACATCAATTCGATGTCGATTTCATTATCATGTCTAAACGTTTAGAACGCTCAGTATATAAAGTGACTAATTCACTTATCTCGACATTATTGCTTATCCTTTAGCCAAACTATTATAACTGTAATAAAAAGATTTAGGAGATTAAGAGAACTGTGTTAAAAATGTTATTATATCATTTAATTGTTCAATGTTTAGGTATTTCTTATCGTAAATTCGTATAGTAAACACACGTGCGACAGTCGAACCGTTGCGTCGAACGATTGTTCGTATTAGACTTGAAAGTGCAGCATACATATTGTTAAATTTATAGATATACGGAGCGATAGTTTTTATACGATTAATACGATCTTTTTATCGCAATATGTTCTTATATATGTACGTAATAAATATATATACATATATGTATATATATAAGCTGTAAAATAAAGTTGCAGTTTTTATCTTGTTATTATAACTTTTGTTAATATATAAAACGTTAGTTTACTGTTTTAAATATTACAAGAAACAAATTGCGCAATTATCAATCCGAAGAAATTAGTAATATAGGTACATTATTTGTAGTAGTAGTAGTAGTAGTAGGTAAATGCAGGTGGGCTTAACTAGCCTACTACCGCGACCTAGATCCATACATTATTTGTAAATACAATATTTTTTCATTTAATATACACATATACATATATGTATATATATTATTATATTTAAAAATGCTTTAGAATACATTACAAATATCCGAATATTATTGTAAATTTATTTCAAAATTTTTATATATTTCCTCTCTCATGTACAATGTACTCGTAGATACAATTAGTGTGGTTAATTATAAATTAATTGTTATTTCATTACAAAAAAAACATACGTAATATAATTATTCATAGTAATAAAGTATTAATTGAAAAGATACTCGAATTTAATTAAATAGTAACTTGCCCTTACTATTTAATTACATGATTCTAGCACAAAAGCAATAAAAAACTCATCAGTCAATTCTAAGCAAAATTGTAAGATTCTTAACTTGTTCTCCTAAGATTTATAAGAATTTATGATTGATATTCTAATTCTTTGCGTATACGTATGATAATTCATATATATAATAGATATCTATACAATTTCTTGTAATCTTATTACGGCTAGCAAAAAGCTGTCTATAACAATATTCCATAAAGTTATAAGTACTTGTCAGTTTTTACAATAAATCTTGTGAGAACATGTTAGACCGGAATCAGACTACGCATTGAAGATTGAGATTGAAGATTAAAAGATTGAAATTTGACCAATCAAAACAATAGAAGCTAAACTTCCTTTGTCCTCATTGATCAAATTTCAATCTTCAATCTCAATCTTCAATGCATAGTCTGATTTAAACCTTACGAGCTTTACAATTCTACGTAAAAAATTAACCCATTAATTAGCGAAAGAAACGTATTTCATTATGTTATAACAGACATACATATATATATAGTTTCAGAATTAGTAATTTTAAAAATACTCACTATTTCACGCATTTAATTGCAAAGAAAGATATTCCACAAAAAGAAACAGTTTTGAATGCGCATTAATTAAGATAGATATATTGTAATCATCAAGTTTAGATCAGTCTAAGTGACCGTCGATCCTCGGTAGAGTCACGTATTAAGATTAAATAAAAATATTGTAGAATAACTAGTAAAACTTTTTGAAATTGTGTACGAAATTTTTACGAAAAATTAAGAATTTCTAGGACAAACCAACCTCACTCTCCGTCCCATTACAAATATCTGCGAAAAACTAAGAATTTCTAATATCTTGTCTCAATTTCTATAGTTTTTCTATACTTTTTCGTAAAAATTTTTTCCGTCAGACAGATTATTTAAAATAAGATTTCCTTTCAATATGTAATTTTAGATGCATTCCGATATTCACTGCCAGTACTGAAAATCTATAGCGCCCGTAACGTATACTGTATAGTTTCAGCACTGGCAGTGAATATATTGGAACGCACTCTTTCTCTCCATTCATTTCCAAATAAAAATACCGTAGAATAAGCTATATCTCCAGCCCAAGTGGTATAAGCGATATCGCTAACCCAATTAGAATAAGCCATATCACCAATCGAAGTAACAATGTCATAATGATGTCAAAGTGACGTGTAAAATTCAATAAATCTAATATTTAACCTAAGAAAAATACATAAAAGTCAACAAAAAATCAAAATGCTTTTATTTTAATTCTGTTTTAATGAACAGTCAAATTTTGTAATAAAAAATTGTTTAGATTTTTATGACGTCAAAATAAAGTCATTCAGACTTTTTTCCTTGACTTAGTATATTTCTTGGATAGTAAAATACCATTAATTAAACTTTACAATCAGATTTCATATTAAGTGTTTTCTGTGACTAAAATAGTATAAAGTTTTGAAACTTAAAATGAGATAGATGTACGTTTAACATTTAGCGAAAGCGAAAGAGAAAATTCTAATACAGTCTAATGTAGAATTAAAAAACAGACCTTTGATCTTATCTTATCGTGAAGTGTCATTTTGGGCATCGTTTTTTTCTTGTCCACGTGACATCAAAGAGCTAAAACTATTGTAATGCAATGCAATAGCACACATAAAATAAGTGTTAATTTGCCGAACAAAGAAAATGCTGATTTGAACATAGTGCACGTTTAAAATTTTATGCGCGATTTATGTACGTAAAAATAAACTTGTCGCATGTGTGTGCTTTGTCGCGTTGTACAATAACTTTGCATATTTTACACTGCGTAATTCTTTCTAAAGAAACGCGCGAAAGAAAAACGTAGACGCAGAAATGCTTCTTTTGATCTCGATACAACTTTGAAATTGACTCCACGTGACAGCGAGTAGTTTAACTGGACCGACGGAATTTCTTTACGAGCACGTCTGCATTTCAAATCGTTCAAACAAAAGTTTTGCACATGACTGCTACAAGGATGATCCCGATGTGAAGATAGTACGCCAACCCGGCCAACTGAGCAGCTGCGTTGTACAGAAATATATCACCCGATGGTATCCACGGCTCCCATGTATTATTCGTTCTTCTTGGATCGGCGAGCCAGTCTACTGACGGCTTGATCTGCATCGCGACGTTGCGCGCATATTGCTCCAGAATCTGATCCAGTTCCCGGGCGATCTATGAGAAGAAAAGAAACTGATGCCCTTCCTTAATTTAATTATAATAACACTAAGTAAGATCAGATTTGATATTTTCTCACCCTCGGATATTGTTCGGCGATATTCTTCGTTTCGCAAGGATCGTTCTCGATATCGAACAGGCACTCGGTAACGTTGCAAGTGACAAAATTATAATTACTGATGTTGAATCGACAGGAGACTGTAGCTTCGTTGCGTAACTGAATCATTGTGCTGGGTTGAGTAACCGGACCACCCAGATGATAGGTGATGCTCTGTGACACCGTGCTCGACAGAATGGTCTCGCTGTAGGGTGGCATATCATCCTGTAGATTTTTTCTCGAACTGTTGCTCAAAAATAGAGATACATAACTTCTTTCGAAATCGTGCCGATGATGTCCATCGTAGTAACCGTTCTCGATCGATCCTAAGATGGAATTTTTCGTAAGCATTAACGAAAAGCCAACAGAAACAAGTTGAGTACTGAAAAGTATTTATATAATTAAAAATTACTATAAAAATAAAATTTTAATGGATATTCCGAGCATCCCACATCCATTTTAATACCTTAAATGTTAATATTTATTAAATATTTTTTTTGCATGATGATTCTATGATTGACAAAATATTTTATGAACTTTTGAAACTTTAACTGAAAGACTTTTTCATACGGAAATCTTTCATGAAAACGAAAAAATGAGAAATTCCTTCTCATTGTCACGTGTAAATTGTATTGCGTTATATCGCTCGATCAAATGATAACAAAGTACCTCGAAGAAGTTTGTACTGCTTGTATATAGCACCCTCCGTCTTGGAAATCTCGTCGATGTTCAGCAGCAGCTTGTCCCTGGCTGTGGGATAGCCGTCGCTCAACATACGCCACTGATTTACCCCGTCGATCTCCCCCAAATCCCTCAGATCGCCATCAGCGGCGGCATAGAGGGTTGGCAGCCAGTCGGTTACGTGTATCAAGTTGCTGCACACACGTGCTGCTTTACGCAATCTTGGTGACCATAGTACAGCAACTCCTCTTACTCCACCCTCGTAGAGGGTGTATTTCATCTGCCGTCATAAATCACGCTCTTATATATACCGCTGTACTTCTTAAAACATCAAAGCGGTTCAGCTCGTGCGTATCTCCGGGAAATTTTCAAATAAATTTAGGTAAAACGTATTTTTTTATATTTATAATACATCAATAATATATATAATAATTATCAACAATATACATATAATAATAATAATAAACATTTTTGTGCTATATGAATAATGTACGTATATATAATTTTAGGACTAATATAATGTATTTTTATATATTTTTTTCTATCTCTCACGCCCGTCGAAAATTAATTATTTAAGAATGCATCATCAAATTTAAATCACTAATTTAATATCAATGTCGGTTATATGATTAAAAATACTTACACCTCGCAAAGGATAATTAGAGCCGTAATTGCGAAATTTACCAACGGGTGCCGCGCCGTTGTCGGTGAGGAAGAGGATCAACGAATTTCTCAGCATTCCTCGACTGCCCAAAGTATTGACGATGAGTCCAACGGAATCATCTAATTTCGATACCATCTCTAAGGAAATTAATGACAAGATAACGAAGATGCTCGATTGAATTAAATTATATATTTCATATTTATTTTATAATTATTTTATAATTATTTGATTGAAACTGCT